TTATTAATTCTACTCTTTTCTTTTTCCTTCTACTTGCATAGATGCATTCTGTGGTTTTAATGTATTATTCACTTCAGAATATCTGCCATGTACTACTCTTGACCTCCTCAGTGGTGAGTGGCTTAGAAACCAAGGTGAAGGCGGACGCAAGGAGCTCGTTTGGGGCGGAGATAATCCCAACGGTCGGCGGAGAGGAGAGGAAAGGGGGGGGGAAGTAACTTTAAAAAAGTCTGATAAATTAAGACAACCTTGCAAAGGATGCGCAGTCTGGGGTACGCGAAACGAGATATAAAACCACTTGTGGTTTCCGCGGTGCACGGAGACGATCTCGACCGGCTGTGAGAGTCAACCCTGGAACCGAGACTCTCGAGAAACCCAAAAGCATAAAGGGCGCGGCCGGTCAAAGGGGAGACGATGATGAGTTGATTGAATGACTTGGAGTTGGGGCTTTTGAGAGCGGAGCCTCCCAAACGACAGCAGTCAGTCGACTGACTGGACTCGTCCTCTGTCGCGTTGAGGCGGATCCCGCTTGGAGGGGGAGGTGGCTTGTTGGTGGGGGGAGAAATCTCGATGGTGACCAGTGCTGAGACGCGGGAGGCCAATGACGATCCGGAACGGGAGAGGAGCGGCAGCTGAATGGATGCTCGATGAAAAAGATGGGAAGAGATGGGTGGAAGCAGTGGATAAGGGGACCAGCGGCAGTGGAGCCAGCGAACAAGCTGGCCGCATTGGGGAGTCTGGGAGGCCTGGCAGGCCGGGGGGCGTGAGAGGAGGCTGAGGCGCCAGGATCGACTAAGCGTGTCTGGGCAATTTCTTGAGAAGATCACGGACGGTGGCGGATGGAAGAATGCCCATCCAAATGTCCTTCCCACACGCTGCGTTACAGAGTCCAACTCATGGCATTTGGCAAGTTGTCGCGGTGGAATGAGCGCCCGCCCAGTCCCGCTGGGAGTGACGATCCAACGGCCAGAATGCAAGCGGGACCACCAAGACTGGAGTGATAGCCACTGGGGCAGAGCAGATCCAGGCCTGTTCAATGTCAGTGGTCAAGCCTGGTCCATCGTCCAGCACCCCAGTGGCGCCCAGAGGGATCAGGGCGATCTCGCACTGTTCCGAGCGCCAGTAGCAGTCCAGCAAGCCTGTGCAACAGGTGAACAAAGAAAGGCAACTGGGACGGGCTCCAGTCCATTCAACCACTCGAGATGCTGCATGCAAGTAAGCCCTGAGAAGAAGACAAAAAAAAAAAAAAAAAAAAAATAGCTGCAGAGAGCCCCAGGGCTGATGGATATCTCTTATGCATTGCTCGATATATATTGCTACAACAGATGCAATAGGCCGCCCTCCCAGCCAGGACTGAAGGACACATCACAAAATTCAATACTCCGTAATAACTATAGGGGTTATCAAAGTCAAACATGGCCGCTCGGGATGGTCATTTATTATCTTTACTCGGCATTTAGGATTAACTTAACGACGGCCAGCGAAATATACTAGTCCGTCAAGCAGTCTACTTCGCAAACCTATTGCCTTCCCTTTGCACGAATCATGCAACTAACAGTTCATACAATCGTATGGAGCACTCTATAAATTTATCAATACCCACGCAAAAAGACTATCAATCAAGTGGAAACCCAAGGAGGTCCGCTGGTGACGTCCACGAGCGCGACCATCAATGAAGATCGGCAAACTTTGCTTGTTTCAAGGCTCGAAACTTTGGGGCACGGTGGCCTGAGTCCTCAACTCGGAGGACACTTCCACTTCATCGACAGAGTATATATTGATGTCTGACCGCAACTATCCCACCGTGAAGCAGTGACTCATCTTTGCCCCGTGGCAGAAACAAACAGGAGATTTGCATCTCGGCGCGTCGGACCAGGAACCAGACAGCGCCGCAGCGGTGATCTCTGATCACGATGAAAAAGGCTGTGGGGGGGGCGAGCGGGATCGTCGCCTGTCGGTGTTTCCTATCAACATCCATGGATCCAATAGCCTCCCTCCGTCCGGTATACACATTATTCGGTCTTCTTAACTGTACAACAAGCCGGTTGGACCTGGTATACGTAGGAGGCGAAAAAAACGCTCGAACTAGCGACTGTTGTATTCCGCTAGGCTTTCACTAATATTATTAATAGCGATGTTATTCCCCGGCGTTAGCCACGGCGAAGCGCACGAGGCCCAGGCGCATCGTCTCCTCGACCGGGACGCTTGACGCCTCGTTGATTCGATGCAAACAAACACATACCTTGCTAAGCCTGCAGCACATCCTGGTACCCCCAACGACACTAATGCAGAAGAAATGCAGCCTGCGATAATCTGAGCCACACTCACAAGTGACGGGTGAGACCGTGCTGACGAGAGCAGGAGCATTTCGAGGCTGATACGAGCGAAGTGACGAATAGAAACGTAAAATAATAGATGGACAAAAATATTGATATGATATTAGGTTTTGATATGAAACTACGATATATCCACTGGATCGACGAGACCGAGTACTTTTACGAAGGATGTAGACCGAAAAAATGGACCACCGTGTCCACAGAAAAAGTAGAACTTCTCCAAAGAACACCGCGGTGAGTAGAGGGTCGTTGATCTTCTTTGCGCAAAATAAGCCTATACCACGAGGTATTGTTCAACCCAGGCCCGAAGGCGGGAAGGAACGGTAAGAGCCAGAGTGTTGCAAAGGTCACAGAGAGAATATTGGGGTTCGGCCGCGGCATGCTCGAGCCAACAGCCAGCAAGCCACAGGGAGCTGGAATAGATGTGGAAGGGAAGGGGGCTACCCGTATCCAGTGAAACAAACGTGAAAATTCAGATTGAACGCAAGTGGGAATCCTAAAGTCATGAATCGTAAAGATTTTTTTGTTGCCGGTAGAGCAATGATCCTATTCGCTGTATCTAGCATCCCAATACAAGTTGATGAACGCCATAACAATCACGGCCATTGTTTACTCGGAGGGGACTGTTGAAACAATTAGCAACTGCGCATATTTCAACTGATTTCGCGTCAGGACTTACCGTCAATCTCGCCAGCCTTGATGTCATCGGAGACATCCTTGGGGCTGCGGCCATCGACCTTGCAGCCGACGGAGAAAGCAGTACCGAGGATCTCAAGGACGGTACCCTTGAGCTCCTTGGCAAGAGAGCGCTCACGCATCTTGCGAGCGATCTCAAAGATCTCGTCGAGAGGGATGGACTTGGTGTGCTTGATGTTCTTCTCCTTCTTGCGGTCACGAGGAGGCTCCTTGAGGGCCTTGATGACAAGGGAAGAGGCGGAGGGCACAACGGAGACAGCGGCCTGACGGTTCTGGATGGTCAGTCGGACGGTGACACGGAGACCCTTCTATATTGTTTGAAAAAAATCCTGAATTAGCCATCTGTGCATTGGCGCGAATCCGACTTGTGACTCCTTACCCAGTCGCCAGTGTTCTTGGCAATGTCTTCACCAATCTTCTTGGGAGACAGACCAAGGGGACCGATCTTAGGAGCCAGAGCAGACTGAGCTCCGACCTCACCACCAGTCACACGGAGGTGGCTATAGATGCCGTTAGTCTTTGTATCGAGCGCATCTCAGAATTTTGGAGCTTACATGATCTTCACCTCATTGGGGTCGAACTTGGGAGCTGCCCAACGAATAAATGTTAGCCGCCAATGTTGACATAGCCAAGGAGATGATACTTACGCATGGCGAGTGCGAAAGGTTGTCGATCTACCTTGGTGTGTTGTTGGGTGGTTGGTGTAGAGAGGAAGAAAAGTTTCGAAGCCGAAGTCGAACATTTTGATGGGGCTGTCCGCACCTGCGAGCTAGGGGCTAAGCGAGCCACCCAATCGGGAAAAGCCAATAGGGCTCAACCGACTGAGATCACGTGACTTGACACGGCATGCATTTAAGCCCTAGTTTACGGAACAGTATAAAAAGTATGCCAAAGTCTTCGTTGTAACCAGTTCATTGAATTTATAGAAAGTAGTTGCTAGATTCGGGGTAAAAAAGCGAAACACATAACCGCTAAAGATACACACGATCCGAGGACCGACGTCAGACCGCCCATTGCTCTCGTAATCGCCATTACCTTACTTCAACATTTAACTCGTTCCAGACACCGCAAGCCTTTTATAGGGTTAGTACAGGTTACACACGACTCTTTCGAAAATACTTACTTCATAAGGTGGTCCATGAAGGTTTGCAGAGACACATCGTCAGTGAAGATAGTTTGCGATGAGACACCTCCACCATAGCCTCCTGTTGTATGCGTCGTGGATGGGTTGAGCTTGGACAAAAGGAAGCGGGCTTGGGAACCACCAGCATCACAAACGATAAACCGGGGTAGCGGGAAGCGCTCGGAAATAAGTTCCTGAATATTCATCAGTATTGGCTCTAAAATGGTTGCCAAAGTTAGATTTTACATACCCTTGCGTCTTCTTTCGGTTGGTCAAGGAGGACCTTCAAATTCTCGTAGCCTTCTTGCTCCTGGTAGCCCGCCTTTCTCCATTCGGCAATGGTTTCTCCATGGAAGATGAGAATGTGGAAGAAGGTGTCCAGAAGAAGGATGTGAGAAGGCTGGATGGAAGCCGAATCAAGCAAGACTGGTTGGCTGCCTTCGTGTTCCAATGAGTATGAGTCCAATGTAGGCTGAATCATAACAAGAGAGTCGCCAACATCTTCGTGGTTGAGAACATGGCGATAAAATGCTGTCTCATCAGGAGAGTTATTAAAGACCTGCAAGAACTGACTTCTGCGGAGATGGAACATGAATTGAGGGTAGAGGGTGAAGTTCTTTTCAAGTCGGAATGACGTTGGGTCATCCTTGCGGTAATCCGCAAAGCGCGAGCAGAGCCGAATGAGCATTCTATCAACCCATCTGAGGACATCAGGGCCATCGTCAACTTCGGCCTTGAAAACACCAATGCGAGCCATAAGGACAGCGGCGGCTTCCTGGTCAAAGGATTGCGCAAGAGTAGGATCACCGGCGGGACCACTCAGGTTCCGTGCAACCGTGGTGACACGCAGATGGAAGTGCCCGGAGGAACTCTGATAGTAGGTTAAAAATTGCATCATGCCCCGTTGAGGCCCTTGTTGCACAGCGGCAGGGCCGCCCTGGTTCGCAATTTCGAAATAGACTCCGTAGCTCGAAGACGGGTCAATTCCACACATTTTCCAGGCACATGTGTTACCAATACCACACTCCGTCTCGCCCACTGAGCTGGACTTCTTGTTCAGGGAGACAGCATGACCAATGAGGCCAGTGACCTTAAGCTCCTTAGTAGTGAGTACTTCGAGGGATGCATTGAAGCCCATTAGAAGGTTGTCGTTTGCATCCTTGTCGAAAACTCGAACAAAGGACTGCTTGAACTGAGATGAGGTAAAGCTGTCAGTAAGAAGCATATGACCTCCAGTGTAGTTCGCCAGATTCTTCATTTCCAAAAGACCAACTTGGTCAAGGCAACCAGCGAAAACGTCAACCACATGGCCGTTATTCGCTGCACGCTTGGCGAGAGCATCATAGAACTATTCTTGGTTAGCGATTACGTAAATCGTAAGCTGGGGTAGAGCAAGAACTCGCCTTCAATGCCTTCTTAAAGTATTTGATGTTATCACGGTCGATATCGTGGTGCGAGCGAATAGGCTCCTTTAACTCAGGGCTAACGACAAGACCAGGGCCTTCGGTAGCCGCACCGCTTGTGAACATCATGATATGGGCTCCGGCGTTCTGGAAAGAGGTTTCGAGCAGCCCGATAGCAACACTGAGAGCAACACCTGTGCATCTCAAGGGACGCTTATCATTCGCCACGGGCCAAGGGTCACGTTGCAGCTGCTCAAGCATATTCGTGATCTGGAACTCGGCTTGCTGAACAGGTAACAGGAATCGTGCGGCAGCGCCAAGCGGTGGGCGAGCAGGCTGCTGAGGGACGTTTGGCATATTGGGGCGCACCACTCCAGTGTTGAGACCAAGCATTTCCTGGACCTGCTTCGCATTGTAATCCTTACTACCGCGGAAAACATAAGACTTGGCACACTCGGCGTACCCAAGCTCGTGAACTTGTGCCTGTAAGGGATGTCAACAACCCGGCTCCCCAACATGTCTTCTAGACCAGGGGTTTTCATACCATAGTGCCGAATGTGATCAAGCCAACGAGAGCGTTCGGGGGAAGTAGGGACAAGCTCATGATCAATGAATCCTTCACGGCCTTGAGGCTGTCATCCTCCTGACAGGTATCGACGACAAATACGAAGATAGGAGGGGCGGGGGCGGGGCGAGCGAGTTGATACTCGATGGTCGTGCTCATGGGGTGAAGCTCCGGAGGTATCGTGCTCTCTGTGATGTCCTTGTAGTGTGGAGGAAGAGGGTTCCGCATCAGGCAGAAGGGACATATCCAAATTCGGGCGCGGACGTCGACGTTACTGAGGTATGTTAGCGACAACGTGAAAGCCCATAAGGATTAGGTACAGCGCATACGCATAAGGGTTCAAAACGGCCCTACAGGGCGCTTTGCAAGTCACCGGCTCATATTGTAGGAGGGGAGCATCTGGCCGCTCCTTGAGAGGCGTATAAATAGCACCGATAGGGACGACGAGCCGGGACGCTTCCTATTGACAGTTCAGTACGCGTTCATTGTTCGTCTTGCATAGAACTCACCATGCGTGAGCTTGGAAACGTATTCCAGCTCAGCCTGATTCCATCACGATCCTCGACATCGCTCCATTGGTCCTTCAAGGCTTCGTAATCCATCCTGCCGTGCAATCGGAGAACAGCTGGGGATAGCGCAGATTACTAGATCGGGCGAAACCAAGAGCAATTATCCGATAAACACACAATTTAGACACTCAAAAGAACCGCTCAAAGTACGGCCTTGCTTCAAAAACAAAAACGCCGACAACTGTTGTTGTCCGGAGGCTCAATGCGGGGGGGTCCAGCGGTGTTGTGGGAGTCGGAGCTGTTTGAGGCCAGGTTGCAGCACTATGGGTCGCTCCAGCCAACCGTAGTCAGTCACGCTAGTGGCCTTTAAATTCCCACCGTCCGAGGCTTTTTTTCGTCTTTCTTCCAAATTTCTTCAAACCGCCGACTCAACACTCAGCTTCGAGACAAATTAGTGACGGAGTTGTTTTTCTGTCGAGCGAAGAAAGACTTTGACCCGTTGCTGGGCACCTGGCTTTGAAAGGTCGTTCCGATCCTTTTGGATAAACTGGGAATCAGCTGTGGTCACAAGCTGTTTTATTATTTAGCGATTCACTACCAATGAAAATCTTTTACTGTTCAAGCTGTTTTCATCTGCCCAAAATTTGCACATGAGATAAGAAAATTCTAGTATCAGGTCCCTGCCTATTACTCCGCCGTACTCGAATATGTACCTGCCACTAGTCCACCGCAAAGCCTCACTTTCAAAGGTGACACAGAACCGATGAGCGCATGGCCTGGGGCCAATTGAGGATTATAACATAATTACACTGAATTTATACCTATTACAACCTGACTATATCCTGACGAATGTTGTTGCAACCATATTACACCCCAGAACGCCATACACCGGTAAAGCATGCGAAACGCAGACACCATAAAGGGGACGTGTAAACATATCTTCGTGGTTGTATCTGGAGCAACCTCTAGCCATTTCTATGTGCCTTCCCAACCTGCTTAAGGAGATAGCTGCGCTTGAAATAGGTGTTGGGATGGACGATGGTATCAAGATCGATTTCGCTCGCGGAGCCGTCTTCTTTGGCTCTCTTGATTTCAGTCTTATGACTCCACTCGAAAACTCGGTTGCAGGCAATGTGATACCGAGTCTTTTCCACATCCTCTCGTACTCCGCGCAGCAGTTCCTTATCGTGGACACCAGTAGACTGAAGAAGCCCGATTAGGTTATCGACAGAATAGTGGCGATACGGACATCCGTGAGTTTGCCCAACACCGGGGTTCGAATCATTGAGAATCTTCTGGCACGAATAGGGTGGGTAGCCACGGCCCCTTCGGTTGACATCACCGCCCACATCTCCGTAGGCGTGGCGGATATTATACTTGTATCGCGAGTTGAATTCGTCATCAGTAAAGCCCTTGAATGATTGGCGCCAGAAGAGAATACACTCTTCGAGAGATAAACCAATGCCCTTGAGGAACAGAGTGTACTGCAATCGACCGTAATGTTTCAAATGGTTGTTCTTGCGCAATGACATGTGAAGGCTGCGCATGCAGAGCGGAAAATGTTGAGAAAGAGCATCGATGCTAATGGCGGTAATCGGGGCCCCATCCACGAATCCTTCTCCTTCGGAATATACGGACTCGGCGCTTCCAAAATTCTTAGATAGGTGGTCTAGGATAGGAGAGAGACGATCGTCCTCATCTAGTCGCGGCAAAGCCCTGCTTGTGAGCTAGGGGGAAAGGGTCAGCTCAGCGTCGTCGTACTAAACCGCAAAGGGGGGGGTGGGGGTTTAACTTACCTCCAAAGCACGCTCTAGCCGAGCTGTGAATTCGGCAATGATCATGCTTAGCTGCTCTCTTTCGGGTACGTACGCCTTCCCTTTGTTTAGGAAAACAGCCCGTCTCTCGACCAATTCGGGTACCTTTTCCCAATCCACCTTGTACCAAGATTCCTCGTCCGAGCGACGCAATCCTGGCGTCGCGGCGACTAAGTGGTCAGAGACCCCCCGCCTCTCCTCCTCACTTACAGATTCCCAATCGAGGTTTAAGCTATCGATAAATGCGCGTCGTTCCCTTGAGTCGTCTGCTTGAAACCGAAATCTGAAGAGCATAGTTTCTGCTCGCGCAAATCGTCGGCGAAGATCTTCGGTGCCTGCAAAGGCTAGCCGGAGAATAAAGTGCGAGTAATGGTCCTTCTGTCGTTCATTTCTGAGTCTGGGATCTGCTGCGCCGGCTCGAGAAGATGTATTAGAGGAAAGAGGGAGAAATTTCTGAAGGAGGGGTGTGATATGTGCCGTCGTCTCGGCCGCGGTCTTGTTGCGATATGAACATGCCTCGATTTCGGCGAGAACTATGAGAGTTAATGACGCGGCACATACAGCGGAATTAAATGATATTCGCACTCTTCAATCTGTCAATCGCCCATTGTTCAAATTGCTCAAGCGTTATCTCTGCAGTCGGAGGTGTGTCGTAGAAGTTCAATCGATATGGGTAGTCCTGCTGCTTGAAAATCGGTGTAGCAAATTGCTTCTTTTTAGGGTCAAGGACAGCCCTTCGCTTGGGATCAACTTTATTGAACTCCTGACGGATCATTTTGAATTCCTAGAAGTTATTGGTGGTCCTGTGGTGGTGAAGTTCTCGTTATGCTCCAAAACCTCTACTATCGGAAGTGATATCGCCGCGCACCACGACGCGGTGGACGCGACGCCCACGCGCGCCATGGTATTAGGTCATGTGATCATATTCTCGGCGGTTTGGCCTGAACCCCTGGACCGAGGGACAAGTTTCGCTGCCATCAACTTAAGGCATACTAAAACTATAGACGTCGTCCATGTGCATGTGATAAATCTCTTAACTTAAATACCATCTTATTACTGCATCAGCAACCGTAGACACCCGACTATTACATTTATATCCCACAGAGAAGCCACACTTCTGTCAGTGAATGCTGTTGTTCCTGCTCCTCGGGTTATCCATAAATTTGGATCGGAAAAGCCTCCGGACCGCACAGCTCACCGACTTCCTAAAGGAGTAGTCCCGTATGATCCCCGCGGATTTTATTGCTTTCCCCGGGTTATTGTCGATAGCATCATCTCGATATTCGACAGAACTTTCACTCCGATATATTGACTTTTGCGATAATCAGCAGGGTAAACAATTGGCTTTCAACCTCTGTTTACTATCAACCCAATAATTCCAGTGCATACCTTCAAAATCTCACAAACAATGGGTCTTTCATAGGATCGAGTCGTTCCTCGAAACCGTCGTCCGTGCTCCTTCGCTTTCGCATTCGAGCCCGATCAGCGCTGCCAAATCCTTGTATCTCAATAACCACAATTCAATACTATAATACAACATTACGGCTGTGGGTGCGATGACCCTCACAGCTCGGCAGCTCAAAAGGGCTGCCCGGGTCATCCTCGTCGGCGCCCCGGGGGTGGGGAAGGGAACCCAGACCGAAAGATTGCTCTCCAAGTTCCCTGAGCTTGCTTCGATCAGCTCAGGCGATTTGCTGCGCGAAAATGTGCGGAACAAGACCTCACTGGGTATGCTGACTTTCGAAGTCTCTTCTATTACCACCGCTAACTGCTTGATAGGTTTGGAAGCAGAAGCTGCAATCCAAGCAGGGAACCTTGTCCCTGACTCCATGATCCTCAACCTTATCTCCTCCGAATTCAACACCAGAGGCTGGCTCTCGCAGTCTTCGAACCCATCAACCCCCCCATCAATTTCCCCTTCGGCATCCTTTATTTTAGACGGTTTCCCTCGCACCGCTTCTCAGGCCACGAGCCTAGATTCCCTCGTACCCATCAATTTTGTCGTCCACTTAGTCACGCCACCCTCAATAATTCTCTCTCGCATAGCGTCGCGCTGGGTACATGAGCCTTCTGGGAGGGTGTATAATACGGATTTCAACGCTCCCAAGGTCTCGGGGAGGGATGATGTTACTGGGGAACCTTTGACGCAGAGGGAAGACGATTCAATCGATACATGGAAACAACGACTTCACAAATTCGAAGAAACGAGTAAAGCCCTACTCCAACACTATCAGCGTAGGGGCTGTTTATGGCGTGTTGAAGGCAACTCAAGTGACGAGATTACACCGAAGCTTCTTGCGGAGTTTGAGCGGAAATTTTGTTAGATTTTTTTGTGGCCTGGATTATACCATGAGTGTTCTTGTATTTTTACTATATATTGTGCTATCCACCTGCTGCTAGGGCCATCAATCCTTATGTTAGGGACATATATACGGCAATTGACCGGGAATTGATACCCAAATTTTACGACTTATCTTTTCCCTGTCATTATTTTCATTCACATAGCCCATATGTTCGCATACAACAACATGCCAGAGCATAGCTGCACAGTCATACATATATATCATGGTCAATCAAGTAAAAAAAAGAGGTGAAAGCAAATATGCAAGACAAATATATCAGCGGTATAGTTAACACCTCTACTTCTTCCCATTCTTGTCGTTCGGCTGTTCCTCTGAACCCACCCGAGTCTTATACTCCCTTGGGCTTTCGAACTCTTTATTGCGGCGAAATCCCTTCCACATTCCATTCCCTTTCAGCTTCGCCCACCATTCGGCGCTCCTATATTTGCTCTCCATAGCATCACCACCAAATTCGGCACCAAACTTGGCTTCATACACAGTTGCCAGTCCCCGTCTGAGCATCTCATATGATACATCTCGACGGCGAAATGGGATCGGGAAGTCAAAGACCCGTCGCACATATACCGACGCTACAGCCCGCTGGTACTGGTCTGGACGATGCAAATACACGCGCACGCGGCGATTGAGCAAATACGACGTCAACCATTCGTGTGCTTCCCGGGAATAGGGCTGTTCGGCGCGGCCGAAATGCGCGCGTTCAGGGGCATCAACGCCTGCTAGGCGGATATGGACCTATGGTTATAGCCAGCGTCAGCAATCCAAGTAAAGCAATTGAGCAGTCTCGCATAACAGCCAAGTGACACGAGAAAACCACGCCACTATGCAAGTCGCGAGTATTTCGCAGTAATTTCAGTAATGTAAAATACGCACAGTATTATCCCTCAACTCCTTCTTCTCCTTTGGCACCGTCTTCCAGGGCAGCCATCCCCAACCGGCAAGCCTCCCGCCGGGCGTATGGAATAATCTGAAATTATCCCCATCGCCAACGCTTGTCACTTTACCAAAGATGCTTCGGTTGCGGAAATACGACGCGGGGATGCTCGGCGCATCGGGGAACCGGCGGAGGTAGGAACGGTGGAAGCGCGCTGCGCCTAAGATCGCGGAGGTGAGGATTAAGGTTGGGAGGAGGGTTCGTGGCTCTGTGAAGGCAGACCAGTCAAGTGCTGAGTTTGACTTTTCGTTGCTGCGGTTTGTATATGCCGATGGGAATAGTGAGTGTTGTTGTTGTTCGTCATCGGTGTCTGCGGGGACTTGCGGTTTAGAAGACCATGGCGGCCATCGCATAGCGGCTCATGCCCTCACACTGCGTGAGTAATAGGCGTGTATGTCTGATGGGTGGGCTTGGAAGTGGCCGCGATAAGGAGGTGTTATAGGGGTAAAGCCAAATGGTTCCCAGGTTCCAGGGTCCCAAGGTTGCTATGCCATTGTTTGGGAGCGGGGAGGCGGTCAAAATATATATTTCGGCAACAGGAGGCTCCGCAGTGGTGAAACGCCGACAACGCCTTCGTCATTACCTAGTTCCAAAGGTCTTTCTTTCTTTCTTTTTTTTTTTTTTCCCCTCCCCCAAGGGGCGTTTTGCTACGGGCAGTTCGTAGAGCCATTAAAACCGCATTAAAGGAACAAACGTTTTCTCTACATCACGATAAATATACAAGATGTACGTGGAGACCCGTATCCTTGGTTTATAAGTCAAAATCAAACAGATCTACACCCGTGCGCCATTTAAAGATAGGAAATATATATAAAAAAAAAGTGAAACGAGCCGGCGGATTTCTCTATTTCAAAGTGGCGGGGCGGCTGGCTTGCGCCTTGGATGCCGCTGTATCCACGACCTTGCGGAGCTTCTTCTCTTTGAGGCCCTTGAGGTATGCGAAAAAGACGATGAAGATGAGTTCCATCCTGGAATAGTCAGTACACGAAATGGCAAATGGCACGGGGATAACGACATACCTCTCCTTGGTCATCATCAGGAGACCCTGGACCAAAAGTCCTTTGAGGATTTGAGGTCCAATGCCCTTGAACAGTGACAGGGGTCCCTCATTCTGGATGATGAACTGCATGACTTCACTGAAAGTCTTGAAGGGCTTCCCCTTGCGAGCTGGAGGCGGGCGTGATTGAAGTCCAACCTTGGCAACGATAAGTGGCTGAGTTGCGATGGTGGCCATGGCCTTGGAAAGAGCACCGAGAACTATAACCAGGGTCAGTATTCCAAGTTAATCCACAGTTAGTCGCATGTTACTTACGGAACGCTTCCCACGGTTTAAGGTTGGTTTTTCCGGGGAAAATGATGTCCTTGAGGCGTTGATAGGCACCATACGTGATGGCAGGGTTCACGACAAGGATCAAACTCGCCTTGAGGCCTCTCCACAGACCTGACCAACCGTCCTCGCTGTAAACCACCTCCTTACCCGTTTCAATCAAGCCCTTCCTGTCATTTTTCGGTTGCGTTTGTTGCCGTGTGGTGATGACAGCAACGGGAATCGTGAATATTTGGGCGACGGCACCAGCCACTGCACCAAGACTGAGTTCGATAGCTGTTCCTGGAGGCTTGGGCACAGTCTTCGATGACATGTAGAGCGTTCTCACAACGCTGTACCAGTAGAAATAGGCGAAGTTTGTAGAAGCGACACCGATAAGCGACCCAGCCATGCCCGAGTATAAACCTTCAACTCCCTCCTTGTCCAAAATTTTTGTGATGGCATCCCAGGTTGATTTGTAGTGCACATCGTCTGTCGAACCCGGCTTTTCTGGCTCGTCCGCGTTCTTGATTTGGACCTGTAATTTCGTCTTGACACTAAAATTTGACCACCGTGGTTAGCCCCAGAGGTCTTAGACAGAAAAATGATGACATACAGATCAAGAGGATAGACCATAGCATTCGCAAGAACCGCACCAGTCGCGCCCGCAACGGCGCTGCCCCACGGAGAGAGCGTGGGCTTCGATTGACCAGCCATTTTCCCAGAGAGAGGTCCTCTGATACCAGTAATTAGCTGATGTTTATCCAAATATTGATAGAATGGGAGAAACAAACAAGGTGTTGCGAGAATCTGCTTTGTCGATAGACCGGATAGGGCCGATGACGGAGGGATGACCACCTAGGTAATGAGGAGCAACTAATTCCGAGAACACGCAGTCTGCAGGAGGACACCACTCGAGAGAACGGAGAGGAGTAAAGACCGAGAGAAGAAGCCCAGAGACAATCGAGACTCGAGAGGGAGACAAGGGCCAGTGGAAAGAAAATCGGTAGACGGAGATTCACCTCGGCGCGCGCATGACGAAACGAGCCGAGGTCCAGTCGTGCTGGTTAGAGTTGGGTGATTTTTTGGGACCAGCAGCTTATCGCCGTCGGCTTGCTTGGATCCTCTGTTCCCGTCCGCCCGCAATCCCCCGCCGAGCAACACCAACGTTCACGACTCGCTAAAGCGGCTATGGTGAATGGCATTCGTTCCGTGGCTTCTTGAAGTTGCTTACTCCAATCCTTCGTTATTCCGTGCATTACCCTCGGAATATTGTTGATTCGACACCCGCCCTCCCTTGTGTGGATCTGGGGAAACGGCCGTGTTGGACCTCATCCTGACCTCGGATGTGAGGCACAGGGGCGATCAGCGGAGGCTTCCGGAAAGACCATCGTCGGATTCGGCCTGAATATTGCGTGTCCGATATTCTGATAGGCGCAGAACGACCTGGATGATTGCTGTTGAGGAGTGTGGGCTCTGTTGAAGACCCCGGCTGTCCACATACCAAACGACTATTCCTCTTCGGGGCCAGGATGTCCAGACCTAATGCAGCAACGCAGAAATCATTGATTACCCGAGCACTGGTATTTATCCAGATATAGTCTGCTTTGACGGTCGACTACTAACTCGTAGCTAGAAAGCTGAGCATGACGTCTCTGACGCATCATCTCAGCCTCAGGCTCTGGAGGCTGCTATAGATGCCGCGGAACATTACATGAAGGCTTTGACCTTGACCACATCTCCAAAAGATAGAATTCTGTTGGATGCAAAATGTAAGGAGTGGCTTACACGTGCAGAGAAAATCAAAGGGGCTGAGGACTGGCGGTCCGCCACTCAATTTCGGGACAAACGCTCTGTGGCTCGTACTCCTGCCTCGACGCGGAAGCTCACAACTCGCGAGGAAATCATCCTCTTGGAGGGTGCAAAGTTGAATGGCTTCATATTCCCTCCGTGGAAAGTAGAACCGAGCCCTGAGGAATTTGAGATGGGTGCCGATGGAGATGGGTTGTTTACGTAGGTTCAATATTCCCTTGTCTGCTAGTAATCTTGGACCTGGGCCCCTCCCTAGACATGCATATATTCTAACTATATGCTAGCGATAAACCTGAACTTCATCTGTCTTATTTGCAGAGAGACATATTCGCTGGTTGGAAACGGCCGCTTGAGTTGCTCTCCGAGCAAGTAGATGCCGAGGAAACACAGCTCGCTCCAGTGATGATTGCCACTGGGAAGACGGACCTGGTGCAGGACCTCTTGACAGATTGCTCTGTAGTGGCTAGCCTCTGTGCGACCACATCGAGGTCAGAACGTGGCCTTGGTGAGGTAACTCTGCCTCTCCACCTATAACGAGTGCGGATGGCTGATGAAACATAGGGCCTGCTTCCTGTCGTATACCCCTGCATCTACAATACAGCGAATCGTTTACTTTCGCCCTCCGGCAAGTACATATTCCGCTTCTACTTCAATGGGTGTTTTCGGAGGGTGATTATCGACGACCGCTTACCGTCGTCAAAAACCTCACGCTCTCTGTACGTGATAGATCGGAATCACGGTAACTTTCTATGGCCTGCCTTAGTAGAAAAGGCATACTTGAAACTCCGTGGAGGTTATGATTTTCCAGGAAGTAATTCTGGGACGGACCTATGGGTGCTGACGGGATGGATTCCCGAGCAAGTCTTCCTCCACAATGATGAAGTGACTGCGGACCAGATTTGGTCCAGCATTTTCAAATCGTTTCACAAAGGGGATGTCCTCTTGACTATCGGAACTGGGAAACTCACAGAGAAGGAGCAGAAAGAGCTAGGCCTTGTCAGTGAGCACGACTATGCGATCCTGGATATGAAGGAATTTAAAGGGCGTCGCCAAATACTTGTCAAGAACCCTTGGGCTGGGGCTGACACCGTATATCCAGCGCTTTTCGCGGAACCTGAGCCAGCTGATAACTTGGCTTCTCTCTCCCCTGGCTCGTTTTGGATGGATTGTGAAAAAGTTCTCCAAAATTTCGAAAACTTATATTTAAACTGGAACCCAGAGCTGTTTGCGTACCAGGAGGATATCCACTTTACATGGGATTTGTCGAGCGGCAAGGGAATGGCCGGGTGTTTTGTCAAGAACCCACAATTTGCTGTTTCTACTGAGTGTGGAGGTACTGTCTGGTTACTCCTAGGGAGACATTTCAGAACGATTGAATCGCATGCCTCAGATGAGGATGACGAAGACCCATTTGGATTCATAAGCATATATGCCTTTAAAGGAGGCAAAAGAGTATCACTCAGTGATGGTGCTCTTCATCGAGGCCCATACGTCGACTCGCCGAACACTCTCATGAGACTGGATATTCCTCCGGGAACAACCTATACCGCTGTTGTATCCGAAGAGTCCTTGCCGCCCATAAGCCAAAACTTTACACTCTCCGCATTCTCCAAGTCACCGGTGCAAGTATCTCACGCGCCCAACAAATATATGTGTGTGACCAAAGTTCAAAGCTCCTGGACACCATCTACGGCTGGAGGAAATGCAGAATCGGCACGATATTCCCTGAACCCGCAGTTCAACATAGAGCTCATGGATCCTACGGATGTATCAATTGTGTTGGAGCCGTCAGACCCCGAGCATGCCACTCACGTTAAGTTGTTTTGGTCAGACGGAAAACGCATAGCTCGAGTCCGAAGCCGCGATATCGTTGCAGATAGTGGGGACTATCGCCGCGGCGGCTCGCTAGCAGAAAAGAAGGACCTAGACCCTGGAAAATACACGATTGTCGCATCTACTTTTGCTCCCGACCAACTTGGACCTTTCACACTTTGGGTTTCGACGAACATCCCCTGCGAAGTGAGGCAACTTCCCCCAGAAGCTGCTGGGCGTCGGGCGGTGTTGTCTGACATCGGGATTCTCCTGCCGGGCCAAGACAGAATGCTCGCACCCTTGCAAACACCTCGGCTGACACGCATCAAACTGATTGCGAGGAGCAGGCAGTCCACGATTGGGCACCGAGCTGTTGGTCCATCGCCAGTGCTGATGACCGTTGAGCTTGGCCAGGGCCCGTACAAGGAGATCCTCGCCACATCAGAAGATGGAGACCATAGCGACTCTATAGCTGGAGTGCGCGTAGAGGACTTTGATCTACGTCCTGGTTTAGAGGAGAGAGGCGGGGTGTGGATTGTTCTTGAGAGAATCGGGGGACCTGGGGGGCAGGTGGAAGATCACTTTGAGGTGGAGGCTCTGGGAGAGGAGAGGGTAGAAATCGGAGGATGGATAGTTGAAGATGCATGATTTCTGGTCTTTGAGCGTGTATGAATAAATCGAAACCGTTTGTAGACAGACGTTGCCGGGCTTATATTGTCATTTGTTGTATGTGATATAACCTAGAAGCTTGCTGTAGTGATATAGTTACCAATTGAAGCTAATACTGAGTGACCACCTAGCTGCTAAATCTCTAAGAAAGCTGCATGAGCTTAAGTTGTATCAAGATCCAAATATAGGCCAGGGACACCGAATTGGTGGCCAAGTGTGTAGTGCTACGGAGAACAACCAGTACACGAGGCGAGTGCGGGGAGCCGCAAATTAGCCTCTGGGTAGCTCCCGCAGTCTGAATGACCGACCTCCCAACGTCATCCCCACCTACAGGCACCTTGCACACACTCTCATCAATTGCATCTCTTCTGCCCCGAATTTCCAGCCACAGCCGAAAAAATGACTAGCAATATACCCGCAGCACTGAAGTCTGTGGACGTTGGGCGATTTGCCGTACGAGCTGCGCAGCTCGAAAAAGCAAGGCCTATCATTGCCTACTGGTGTGAGTTGACGCCGCAGCCATTGCTCGGAAGAACCCTGGCTAACAAGATTGTACCTTTCGCAACAGGTAACTTTTACATCGTGAATCAGATTATCGAGAGAGGTCTGCATACCTCTGATGACGAAGTGAAGCTGTACACAACGGACCTGATGGAGAAGCTGGAACAAGTACGTCAAGACTGCGAATATGGGTTAACCTGACTGGCTGCTGGGCAAGGTGCTGACAAGTTTACTGCTTTGAAGTTCCAGAACCAGAACCGTGATAATGATGCGATTTCGGATTCAATGGCGGCTAGCGCCTACGTGGAGGAGTTTGGACTTGAAGTCTTTGGTCGCGCAGAGGCCGCCATGCGGGCCGACAAAGTGACCAAGTTCGTCCGACACTACCTGATAAACTTGGACCTAGGACTAACCTTGCAACAGACAAACTGCAGATACCTTTCAAGCAGCCGCGACGTTCCTCGAGTTATGCCAGGTCTGGAACCCCCTCCAGGCTGAAGTTGCCGCGAAGGTGAAATTTGCAAAGTACCATGCCGTGAGGATTGTGAAGGCGATTAAGGCGGGGGAGGACCCCAACGCGTCGAACCCGAAGATCGACGACAACGACGAGAAGGAGGAAGTAGAACCATTAGGAGATCTATCTCAGGGCGAACCACCCAATCTCGATGCCGCCGCTCCGTCGTCGCAAACACCCCTGCAACCGAGGGTTGAAGACGTTCCTGACGAAGCTCAACGCGCGCAATCTTCAAATTCACCACTTAACCTGCCACAGCCACCAACAACGTTTACCAATTTACCATCCGCCCCTGAAGGTCCTGCATCGACACCCGGTCGAGCTATGGATGTAGGGCCGGACGAAGACTCGCCACTCAATCTCCCATCAGCGCCGAACACCTTCGCTTCGGAAACGTCCCCTAATCTTCCTGATACGCCGACAAATATTGGAGCGCACCATCAGCCGAAACCGTCCAATGAGTTCCAATCCTTCCCTCCTCCATCTACAATGCCTCCTACGAACCCAGCACCAGCACCAGCACCTGCTCCGCACAATGTAGACTCCTTTTATAATGCTCCTAGCGTTGGTGGTCCGTCGCATTTTGTGCCACCTTCTGGACCCGGTCGTGAAGTCCCATACCAACCTCAACCTGTTGCAACTCCGCCCGTACCCGCGCCTGCTACACATAGCCAGGCGCCTTCGCACGGCATCGATGATCAAGCAATTTCACAAGCTCAAAAACATGCACGATGGGCTGTATCCGCGCTCACCTTTGACGATGTAAACACAGCAATCAAAGAGCTACGGAACTCCCTGAAGCACCTTGGAGCGGAATGAATTTTGCCCAGCATTGCTTTGGGATCACCGATAGGAGGAAGGAGATCTTTTGCATTGGGCGATTCTTTCCCAGGTATCGACGGTCAGCGTATGTATCCTAATATTACTTGCATTCAGCATAATGAGAATCATGATTCAACGACTTGGTCATTTTGAGATATTGAATCTCACAACCAATCTTTCCCTTTCAGCACGTGTAGTGTTATAGATAACTATCTTCCTCTCCTTAACCGCTCAACGGCAACAGTTGCAGCCTTTGTTCCACCCCGTCAATAATGGCATCGCCGTGCCGGGGAACTTGATGTCTAAGAATCAAGTATTGATAAACTCTGCGTGCTTCCTCGATCAGCTTTGATGAAAACGTGAGATTTCATTCGAGGCAGAAGAAATGAAGCATAAAGACCCCCAGAATTGGAAAAGTGAAGTGAGAGAGACCAACTGATTTCTAAGTCTTACTATCTCCTCACCTTTGATAATGTGCTCAACCCCCTCATAATGATGATAGTCATTGCTTTTCACTTCTTCGTTTTCATCTACTTCTCTGAATCCTTGTTTACCTTTCCCCATAAACCTCCACTTATCCAATGAGTGTTTCTTCTGATCACGTCCCCTTTCGTCACCATGGCTAGAATGAATAATTTTGGAATCCCGCCCCCCCAGAGGGCCCCAGCTATAAACAGTGAAGACCTGGCCATGTGTAAGAGAGACCGAGACTTTACAAACATCCTTGACCTGAAGTTCGAACACCATAACAAATTCATCAGAAATCTGAGGCAGCACGTTGAGCTCTTCCATACCTGGAAAGAGATTCGAGACTCCCCGCCTGCTAGAGAATTCTGTATTGACCGGTTCTTGGACATCTACGGGGCGGAGTACTGGAGTGTCCAGAACCGCAGCAAGTACATAATGTCCGATTCTGTGGCTCGAGGGGATCAAGTTCGCTATCCCGCGGACATAGACGAGTGAGTTTTGTTTGTTCCTTCTTCCTTGTCATAGTTTAGTTATGTGTTGGACGAACGACGCTGACCGCACACCCCAGTATCAAGAAAACTCTGGTCATCCTCCTTAAAAAGAAAGCCGACAGTTTTCTAAAAGACACCCAGACCGAAGAACCTGCGTCCTCGGCAACCTTTCGTTTGCCACGTGCACCTGCACCAGAGACCACCAGAGAATCACAGCTAGGTATCCGGTTCACCGTCCCGGGCTTGGAACAGCACAGAGATGAAGATGAAGAAGAAGGAAAAAATGAAGAGGATACAGAAGATGAGGCACCGAGATCCTCTGGTTCCCGTCGGCTTAGGAGAGGCATCGCAACTAGGCCTGACGTTCGTATCACTCCGCCCAAAGACACAAGTTCTTTGAGTTCTCTTGATTCCGCCTCCATTGCGGCTACCAATACTTTCCCAGAAAGTTCGAAAATATCGACTCTTAATCTTGTAGATGAGAGTGTTGCAAAGTCCCTTTATTCAAAGTACCTTCGCGATACTTTCTTCCTGGTATCCACAGACCAGAACCAGGTACACGCTGCACCCGCTTGGGTCAAGTTCCAGAACTTCAAGTCTGCGTCTGCCTTCCTCTTAGACATGGGTCGTGAGCTCGGGCTAGAACAACAGTGGTGGACCCCCAATGCCCAGATGGAAGTTGAAGGTGGTGCTAGGGCTCACCAAACTGACTATGTCTCCGTGGCGCAGGGTGTTATCGCCATGGCGTCTGTCAGGTTCATGTGGTCTGGAGAAGAGGTTCTAGTACGCTGGGGAAATGATAGTGATTGGGGGATTGTGACGCAGTTTATCCAGAAGGCTTGGGTAGCCAAGGAATTTGGCCATGGAGTTTTTGATCTTTTCAAAGTTGGCGTTGTTATTCATCTTGAGCTCTAGGATAGTTCGGATCTTGTAGAGGCGTTTTATTGATGGGGACGCGTATTTGAGTCAATTGCAGATAGGAGGAGCATGCGATGATATTATGGAGTTACAAATATTTCGTCAACAATACTATGCTTTCGTTTCAAGTTCGATTCCGTATAGAATAAAGCTTATGACTCTTCTTCATCTTTGGATCCTTCTGTCGCTAACTCTCCACGGACGCACCGTTTCAACCCAGTGATCAAGGAAAAATCATCCGCAGTTAGAGTTTACAGTATCTACCCCGAATTCCCAACAGTGGTTCAGGAATCATGAGGCTGGCACGAACCATGGAACAAAGCACGCGAAGCTCAAAGTCGGACCCGAGATTTAATGGAACACTGACGTCAGCGGATCGTGTTCGACGGTTGGTTGCAGCATCAGATGCCTGTGCAATTCCACCTTGCGCACAGCCCGAGGGAGAGATGGGGTATTGTATTTGGAAACCATCGCAAGGATTTGTCCGAGCTATGGAGCAATGAGATTTTTTTTGCTGACGGGTTGCATTGAGACCTGCGACTGGAGTAGAGTGGATTGAGATTAAAAATCTCCACTGAGCCGCAGATCCTGGTTATTCCTTGTAGATGATCAAGCGGAAAATCCTCCGTCGACGCAGGGTTAAGGGGGATTAATTTGGGAGTCTGTTGGGAGCGTTTGCAAAGGTGTTCAAACTGACTATGGATAATCTCTCTTAATTGCCGCCCGTTTGAATGGTATCTGATTTTGGAAGTAAGGGATGCGCAGGACTTTTTGTAAGTCCACCGTCTGTATGTCTTATTGCGATTGTCTCCCCGGACCTCGTCATCCCTGCAGGGAACTCGGGCGTTTCGGGGAGGCTAGCAATCGTAAATTTCAATTTTATTGAGTCATTGACCCATGATCGACTCCCCATGTCGATTGTTGATGTGCGTTGCAGTTTGCCTGTCTGTTTCACTCTGTTGTCTTGCGTTTATCCACCGAGGCCCAGCGTCTTTCTATTGATAGAACATCTTGGGTTTGTTCCGCCATTTAACTCTACGAAGAGCATCGAATAGCCTTTGACAAGAAAAGGGGGGGCTGTTAGAGGTAGGGCAGGAGGGAGAAGATCCCCAGTGCAGCAACGGCACTATTCTCCATTGTTGCACCGGTCGTGTGGCAGAAACAGTTCGTCGAAGTCGCATTACATTTAGGCGCAAAGTCAAAGCCGCGCACCACTGCACAATGGTCAGTGATGACTGGTCACTGCGTCCACTCAACGCATGGATCATGTTCTCCTCCAATATGCGCATACCCATGTCTTGTGTGGAGTTCGAGCTCCGTAGTCTGCCTCGCGTAACCTCAGATAGATACTCGGTTTCCCAAATACGTCCCCTTGGAAATTGTATATTGTTTGGGATATACTGAAGGGCGCGACCGGCACGCTGCCTCCCTTGACCGCGGAGGTATCCAAAATCACTTCGTGTTTCTCGTATCCTTTCCAATGGCGGGTTCTGAGCAGTTTGAGATGTTCCAAGTCAAATTTCCTCGGGTGGAGCGTTGGTGCAGACGTCCCACAACGCGCCGCTTGGCAGGGGAACGACAGTCTGACCTGTCCTCATGACCAGAACCCACGATGTCGCCGAAATTTCTAGATGCAGCGCTAACGGAGTTCCTTCGGCGATGGCTTGGAGGGGCGTAATCCCCGTATTGGAGTGAAGTTGCTTTTTCTCCTTGCGTTCCCAGCGATTGTCGCGCAAGCTTTGACCGGATCGATGAGCGGCACTGACAGTTTGACACTCCGTCATTATTAGCCTCAATCATTGAACAATGCATAATATGGAGGCAAAGCTATGATAACGAAGCAGTCCATGAGGGCCCGCGGGTGTGGTCATAGTTAGCAAGACGGGGATCGGCAGCCCACGAAAGAGGCAGGACTGGAGGGCGTAGACTAACTAGATGGACATTGACATGGGTAATAATATTAAAGAATCCACCCTGCGTTGAGTGTTGCTGGCGCAGGCTCTCGAGACGAAGCAGGCTGAGTTGATTGAGTTTCATCCGAACGCCCGGGGTTTCTGTCTGATTATTATTACTCTTGACTCTGAATCGTTGTCCGTCCCAAACGGGTTACCCCCAAACCTTCTCCTCTCCCTCGAATCTCTTGTCCTTGTTTCTTTCTCCATCGTCTCCCTTTGCTTTCTTCATTCTCGTTCTTCAACTTAACGTCTCTCCAAAGGGCATCCATTCTCTTACACTCTCTTCACAACATACCGCCGCCGAGACTCGATATCCATACCCTAGAGTTGTGCCTGGTCCACCAACTTGTCGACTCCGCGGCTCCCCCGAAGAACCGCCACAGACTGACATCTCTTTCACCTCCCCGCATTCTTCTAGCTATATCTGGGTGTGCAGCGCTACGGTCTACTCTGGGCTGCAACTTATACATTACTCCATAAAATCCGACAAAAAAAAATTAGAGACAGCCTTGGGATTCATACGCCTTATAGCCCCTCACTCACTATGGCCGACAAGAAGCCATCCGTCCTGATTATTGGAGGTTTGGGTATGTGCACAATGCCACGCTGCCTAAATTTGGAGGAATAGGACGGCCCGACTAACTTTAAATGTCATGATATAGGGTTCATCGGTCGCCATCTGGCCCTTTATATCCATGAAAATAACCTCGCTTCGGAGGTGCGACTTGTTGATAAGGTCCTTCCACAGCTGGCTTGGCTAGCTCCGGAGTTCGAAGAAGCCTGCTCCAAAGACAAATTCGTGCAGGCTGACGCTACCCGAGAACGTGGGTGCCCTTGCTCGTCTACCTTTGTATTGGCTGATGCTTCGGATTGTTGGCTAACGTTCATTTCACTTAGAGCACCTGCCGCGCATCTTTGATCGCGCTAATGGCGAGCAGTTTGACTATGTGATCAACTGCGGCGGCGAGACGAGACATTCTCAACCCGATGACGTCTATCAAGCCCGGAGCTACAATCTGAGTATAGCCTTGGCTCGTGAGGTTTCTCGCCGGGGAATTCGCTCCTTCGTTGAATGCTCTACTGCCCACGTTTACAAGTCTGGATCCACCCCACGAAAAGAAGACGATAAGCTACAAGCATGGCACAACCTAGCTAAGTGGAAGCTGAAGGCGAACGAGGAGCTACTTAAGATCCCCAACCTCAATTACATTGTGTTGCGACTGCCAAACGTATTCGGGGAATACGAGTCTGGGCACTTTGCCATGGGAATCTGCCTCGCCAGAGTATACTTGGATATGGAGCGAGATCTTGAATTTCTCTATTCCAAGGATTTGAAGACCAATACTCTTTACGTCAAAGACGCCGCCAGCGCTCTGTGGACGGCTGCCGAATGGAGATACAATGCTCCTACCGATGGTTCCGTTCCGATTATGTACAATGTTGTCGATCACAATGGTACAAGCCAGGGCCATATGGCCGATGCCCTCACTGAGGTCTTTGGGCTGAAATGCTCATTCTTGGGCTCGCTGGCGTCGCAATTTGCCAAGCTGAACATGGATGACGTGGTTGACGACATGAACGAAGTGGCTTTGCAAGGCTGGTCTGACTTGGTCGAAGAAAAGGGTATTCAGCGTCCGGGCCCTATTAGTCCATTCATCGAGAAAGATGTACTTCGGGACCAGGATATGTCGATCGATGGCACCTTATTCGAAACGACCACTGGCTGGAAGCCGACCAAGAACTTCGGCCCCGATTGTATTCGAGACATAGTTGAGAGCTACAAGCGAATGGGCTGGTGGCCATAGACGGCTTTCGTTACGCTATTTGTCTCTTTCACCTTGTCAAACTGTCGAACATTAGAGCGCAGAGAACGATGCACACCGGTAATGACCCTGATAACGAAAACCGTGGTATTCACCGCGTATGACTACGGAATCTACATCACAAACTCGCCCCACGGATCCTCTTGATCAAAAGCACCTACATATAGACCGCATTTTCTCGGCCACCTTCCTCGTTTCTTGAACGGCCAAATCACGCAACCCACCACTGTAATTTATAATCTTCCCTTTCTTTTTGCCGTCTTGAACTTTTCTCAGCCGGAACACTGGTCTGTTCTATTACTGTCTCTTATTTTCTTTTCTTTTTTTCTCTGGCCCCACTTGCTATCTCTTGAGCCTTTTTCTATGTCCAGATCATCTACTTCTCTGTTAGCACTTCATCCTGGCTCTGATGTATGACCATCGCGCAAGCTAGAGTCTGGTCTATGTTGAACGGATTGAGTTTTCTGGATGAACGACTTCTCTTTCATTTTTACAGACCTCTCATTATATTACTATTCACGGAAGTACTTTAATCCTAATGGGACTCCTCGATGCCATTTGTTTGAATTGCACTTTGCTACTGGTAGTAATTGATAGTCATGGCATGGGCCAATATATTTGGAATCTGGGCCTTAGCGAAGTGACAGAGTTTGGGTCAAAAGTAGACATGATCTGAGTTCCTAGACCGGTTCTACGAATTAAATGCCTGTTGCAACTTGTATGTGGCGCTGGATTTGATTAGATATCAGCCCTTCTAATTATGAAGCTAGCTAAGGCAAAATGCGTGTTTGTGTAGTGTATAATATAGGTATAGTCTGTAGTCTTGTGGTTTAAAAAAATAAAAAAATAAACCAGAAGAAATGCCAATACTTGTGAGATATAATGCCCCCCCAGAGTTGAGGAGCGGTAGAAAACGCACACCATAGAAGAACTGAAGCACACGTGAAGAAATGCTTGAAAATGCATGGGGGTTTTGCAATCGGCCGTAAAAGTGGATAGCCGTAGTTGTGACAAAGCAAATAAGTAATCAGAAGATCCAAATGCAGTTCGGTTTAAAACTCCCAGTTCTCATCGACGGACTTGATGGCCCACTCGAATTTCTCTCGTAGAGACTTCGAGAAAAATTTCTCCATTGGGACGCTGAATTTCTTGCTGAAGACAACCGTGAGCCGAGGGTCGATGTAGTTCTGCTGATAGTTAGACATTTCCCACTAAGAGATGAAAAGATGTATGGGAAACTCACAATTTTCGAGGTGCCCAGTGCCACCTCCTTGTTGTCTTCCTTATCTTGAGCTTGGAGCTCCATGTTTTCGACACGCTGTTTGATTTTCGTGATGGCAGCCTCCAGTTTCTCGACGGTTGGGCCCCGCCCTTCAGCTTCCACCTTGTCAGATTTGTTCTCTTTGTTGTACTTCTTTTCCAAGTCCTTTGCGACCTCCAATCTGCTTTCGAGTTCGCTCGCTTTCATCTCCTTCTCACCCTCCGCGGCAAGCTTTTCGTTATCCTTCTCGAATTTCTTCTTGATTTTCTGCCGCTGCTCTTCGACCAAGAAAGCTTGGTGCTCTTTGATCCACTCCTTGTCGATGTCTTCATCCAACTCGAAAAATGCAGCACCCTTCTTCTTCTTTAAGGATGGCTCCAAATCAAGCATCATCTGCTTCAGGCGCCACATCTGATACCGTTGGCCCTTGATCTATATAGGGGTAATTGATTAGTTATTTCTGCATTGGAACCCTCAAGTTCAAACCACTAGACTTACCCGCTCGCTCATCTTCTCCATTTGATTAGCATGGGTTGCTGCAACTGTTCGCTTGTGATTACACAAGATAGCAACTTTCCGATTTGCATCATTATACGCTTTGACCTTTTCTGCATTGGTGCCAGTAGCGTGCATGTCTTTGAGCAGTTCAGCCATCGTGTGAGATGCGTTGTAGGTACGGAACACTTTCGCAGTTAGGCCTTGCATGTATTGAGAAAGGTGCTTGTTCAGCGCGGATGTCTATGACTGTTAGCCGTGTTTGCAATTTAAGCCTCTCCAAGTGTTCGACTTACAGTTAAGCGATCAAAGATCTCATCACCGTTTTTCTTGGGTGCCTTCTTGAAGATTTTCAGGTTTTTGAAGACTTGCGTATCGACTTCTACCTCGTCATAGAACCGGATACTGTCCTTACCCAGGAAATCGAATACCACTTTGTTCGGGGGTTTGAGTGTGACATTCTCGTATTTCAGAGAACAGCAGCCCACAGTTTCAGCCTCATCTTCACCTTTCTCGTTACCTGCACGAAGAGCAAACTGGTCAATGAGATAGACAGCCGTAGCTTTCTGTCGCTCCACCATCAACTCGTTCTTCAAGTTCTTCTGATAGTCCTTGCGGATCCGAGCGATGTGTTTTTTAAGTTCACGGGCCTTTTCAAACTTCTTGTAATCACTCTGGCCCTTGACGTCAGAATTAGCAGCAAGCATGACATACTTGTAGTTGCCATTGATGTTTTCTTGCCACATAGCGAGCCACGTGCCTTCTTGGTCATGTTTCACTTCCTTCCACTTATGACCTTCGGGAGGGGGAGGAACGCGAGCCTCCTTACCAATGTTTATGGTGATCTGCTCTGGCTGGACTCGTGATTTGACATGACCCGTCTTTGGGTGCTCACCACGACCACGGAAAAGCGAAGGCGGTTCGACTCGGAAATTGCCGACTTTCTGTTTGCGACCATCCCACATGCAGAACATGTATGGGGCCTCTTGTTCATCCTTCTCAGCCTTAAGACGCTTCTTCTCAGCGGGTGGTAGAGCCTTTTTCTCTTGGCGCTGCGTGTCATAATACTGGAAGATCGGCTGGAAATCGCATTTTGAAAATTCCTTGATGTCAATCTTGTTGCCTTTTTGATCTTTTGCGCCGCCGGTTTTCTTCAAAATGGCTTTAAAATCGGTGAAGAAGTTCTTTTGGAAGGTAGGGTTTTCCACATTTTGAGTCGAGTTCAGCATACCGCCGAAGAAGCCCGCGACTTCTTCCGCATCGGGGTGAAGGTCAACGGGAATACCATTGTATTTCATCTTGACGTTCTTAGGAAGTGGCTCATACGGCGGAGGAAAAACGACACCATTGTGCTCGAGAGTCCTCCACTTGATCGTTCCATCACCTTTCGTCGGGTCTTCCCACCACTTGTATTCTTCTTCCTCCTCGGCTTCTTCGCTTTCCTCCTTCTTTACTGGAGTAGCTTTCCCATTCTTCTTAGCTGGAGTGGACTGTCCGGACTTCGGTTCCGCCTTCACCTGCTTTAGGGTTTGTTTGGTCGAGGTGGGCTCCTTTTTGACCCCGTTTGTCTGCTTCTTGATGGCAGTGGCAGGCTTGGCTGTCTTCCGGTTTGGTGCTTCTTCCTTTTCTCCCTTAACCTGAATCTTCTTCTTCTCGGCGGCCAACTTCCTTTCGATTGGGACGTCTGAGTCGGACTCGTCCCCGATGGCGGTCTCAGAAGCCTTGGGAAGTTTCTTTCCGTTGAGCGCGAGAGGGACATCTTCATCTGTCTCTGGGTCTTCGTGCTTCACTGAGGTGCGACGACGCTTGCTCTGTCGGATAGTCAGCCGTTGAAACAAAAAGCAACGGCAGTAGTGCCGTAGAAGTTAGGGGCGCGGGTGGGTGTACCAGGGGCTCGTCCTCCTCGCTACTTTCAGGCTCCGCATACGATTTTGCTTGACCAATGCTAGTTCGCGCCTTCCTTTTGTTCGCACTAGCGACGCCATCAGAGTCCTTCATCTCAACGTCCCCGTCTGGCTGCACCGGACCAAATCGAATGGAGACTCCAGGGTCAACATGGCCGTTAGTTTCCCTTGCGCCGTTCGTTTTGACGTTCGATTGACCACCTGGTTTTGCACGAGACAACGGTCAGAATATGACTTATAGTAGGCCACAGGGTAGAATATATTTCCCAGAGAGTGGAAGAGTGAGACGAAATTGCGCTTCTACGATGGTGAGAGCAAGCCGCGACTTACCAGAGGATCTACCGTTCATCTTGACGAGTGGGGTATCGTCTTCTGAGGAGCTCATGTTTGCGACAACTCGACGGATTAGATTGTGTCGCGTAGTGGGTTTATAGAAGAGACGGGCTTGGTGCGCAGGGAGGTAAAGACTCGAGATTGACCTGCCAAGCTTGTAGAGCCGAACTGGCACTTGACGAAGAATGAAGTCAATGATGATCTGACCAATGAAAAGGGAGAGAAGAGAGTGAAGTAAGATAGCTGGGAGTCAGTGAGTGAGAGGTGTTAGGACAGAGGCATTGGGTGTGCGGGAATAGCAGGTACACAAAGGGTGAATCCGCACGAGACACAAGTGAGGCCGAGGAGAGAGGAGGAGGAAAGGAAAGGAATGGAAGGCGAGGCTTCTTGTGTTGGGGCCTGAGGCGATCCGGGCTTCACGTCCACTACGTTTCTCCGGACCGGTTCAGCCACTCCTGTTGCACCGCACAATTTTTGCCTGATTATTCAGGTAGTGAGCATGCCTCCAACCCACCCGGAATTCGGGTGCAAGTCACGTGAATACACTGTTGGTCTTCCTGCTCGCCCGTAACAGCTTCCCGCTTGGGACTAGTCTTCCGGGTGTCGGAAGAACAGAAACAGGAGTCGAATTCGTCCACTTCCCATCATCCACTGTTGACCACTTCCGCCGGCGATTGAACCCCGTGGTGATCCCCTTCGCGCCGTCTCCTCATCTCTATCATCGGTGATAAACCTCTCTCCGTTGTACGGTCCGATTTCACCATGCTTACCCGTGCTGTTCGTCCGGCCGTCAGGGCTGGTGCTATTGCGGTTACCCGGTAAGCCCTCTTCCGGTTCCCAGCTCGCCCATTGCATCAACGACATCCTTCTTCGAAACAACAGGAAGGGGTTTGAATTGGATATATGGGAGATTTAGTGATGGTTACTGACTTTGTTGAAGCACTGCGCCCCCCAACGCCGCCAACTTCGCGACCCTCCGTGAAATCGAAGGCCGTCTGAAGTCCATCAAGAACATCAAGAAGATCACCAATACGATGAAGGTCATTGCCTCTACCCGTCTCACCCGCGCTCAGAAGGCAATGGACGACTCCCGTGCCTACGGTCAGACCTCTAACACCATTTTCGAGCAAGCCGAGACCAAGGCCCTCGAGGATAAGAAGACCCTGCTCGTCGTCGCTAGCTCCGACAAGGGTCTTTGTGGTGGTATCCACTCCGGTCTCAGCAAGGCCACTCGCCGCGCCCTCGAGGAATTCCCCAACTCCGACCTTGTCATTCTCGGTGAGAAGGCCAAGGCTCAGCTGTCTCGTACCAACCCCGGCTCCATTGTCCTCAGTTTCGCCAACGTCTGCAAGGACATTCCTACCTTCGCCGATGCCCAGGCTGTTGCGGACCAGATTGCTCTGCTGCCTACCGACTATGCCAGCGTTAGAATCATTTACAACAAGTTCGTCAACGCGCAGAGCTACGAGCCTGAGACTGTCGAGGCCTACTCTGAGGAGGCCATCACCCAATCCCGTTAGTTATGCGCACCCATTTCAGAAAGCCAATCAATACTGATGTTTTTTTCCCAGCCAACTTCTCTGCTTACGAGGCTGACGAGGAAACCCTTTCCAACCTCCGCGAGTATGCTCTCGCGAACAACTTGTTCTGGGCTATGGCTGAAGGCCACGCCTGTGAGATTTCGGTGAGTTTCATTCTTTATTCCATAGCCTTAAGACTTGAACCACGCTAATTCAACAACAGGCCCGTCGCAATGCTATGGAGAACGCGTCGAAGAACGCTGGTGATATGATCGACAGGTGAGTACCAGCGAATCATTTTGGCATATTAAACATACTCTAACTTTTTTGCAGGTTCCAGATTCTGTACAACCGACAGCGTCAAGCCGCCATTACCGGTGAACTGGTTGAAATTATTACCGGTGCCGCCGCCAGCGCTGAATAGACGCTGTTACGATGTCTTTTGGGAGGGAGTCACCATATGTAGACTAACTCATACGTACCTAGATTCTCGCCAACCTGTAAAATCTATCTCTATACATTTCGTTTGTACCATGACCTCTTATGTCCTTGACTCCATGAATAGTGGTGAACTTCGTCTTTTAAAGCCATTCTCTTCAGCATTGACCTTTGTATATGCTAGGGATTTTGTGCTGTTTGTTTTGCTGCAGCTTCACTTACGTAGCATACTTAGCGTGAAGCACTTGACTACTAGAGAGTTATGTGCTTTTCTATTCACCTCTTTTATCGGCAAAAGCCACCATTTACTTTTTTCTTCTCATCGCACTCTTCCCTTCCTCTCACGTCTCAGGTTTCCCGTCGCCTATACCTCTCAGAGGCGCCAATACGCAAAACCTCAAAGTTCATCCTCTGCTAGTCCAACTTTCTCTCACAACAAACCTCGCAACAAACCTTACAACAGACTTCTAAAGAATATAAGTCCATAGAGCAATGGCCGATTCTTACCAACGCCCGATGATAAATTGCTACGAGATATTGGAAACCACACCATATGCGCCACTCAAAGACATCGAAAGTTCCTACAGAAAACTCGCTCTCAAGTTTCACCCTGACAAAGCAGGAGGTGATGATATCAAATTCAAACAGGTAAATATTGGGAGGCACTTCCTGTCCGGCTCGATCCCATGTGGTGACCAAGAACTAAGGCGTTGAAAAACCACAAACAGATCGGCGAAGCAATCAATATCCTCCGCGACCCAGCCTCCCGCTATGAACACGACAAAGAACTCAGTCGAAGAACCAGATACACCAGTGAGGGGGAGCCTTCATCCGCTAATCCTGGGTACAAAGGATGGGCACCAAAGGGCAGGTACTACCGATATAATTTTACCCCCAGGAATCGATACATGTTCAGCTACCAAGAAAGCGTTCATATGAACCCTTCCTCGACCCAGTCACAGGAAGAACTGGCTCGCTGGGAAAAGGTTCGAGAGGAAGAGGCGAAAAGGCGAGCGGCGGGTCGTCGGGCTGCTCAATTCTTTACTGAACAGGCATTAAAGGAGGCACAAGACCGTCGGAAGTTTACTGTCAACTCAGCAGCAGAAGGTTTGAACGCCGAATCGGTTCATAGTAGAGAGCATAATGATGAGACAAGCAGAGGTTTTGAACCAGTCTGGTGGGGTGGAGCAGAGCCGAACCGGGATGGTCATGGGGATGATGTGTTGGAAGCTGAAGGCGATGGTGGCACCGAGAATGACTCCGTTGGTGAAGCTGAAGTTGATTCCGTGGCGACTGCCGAAGTGGAAATTGGGCTTGGAACCGAATATGGAACCAAGTTCGATAACGGCAACAAAACTACTTCTGGAGCAGAACCAACCTCGCATATTGATGCTTACGTCGACGCGGGCCTGGAGGTTGATGTTCATGATCAATCTGAAGAGGAACCGGCCATTGTCGAAATCAACACTCCCAACACAGAAGCCATTTTAGATAATACCGAGACCGGGGAATTCGCAGCTACTGCAGATGATACCTTTCCCAACCCCGAGACAGACCCTTATGTCGGTTCCAAAATCGACCAAGAAATGGATGCCGCGGCTGAAACCACGTTCGAGGATAACTCTTCTGTTGATGTGGCGCAATTTCAGCGAAGCTTGAAAGAACACATGTCACTGCCCGCAAGATGGACGAGCGGTGCATTGTCCCCCTTAAATAGTGAGGCTCAACTCAACAAGGATGCAAATTCTACCGGATATACACACAATGACAGCACTGAATCTATCTACTACGACTTCAGTGATGCAGCTCAATCCCAGTCAGAAAATTTGGAGAGCGAAACCTACCATGATTTTCCCACTGACAGCAACAACGAGATCATCTCAAACTCTTCCGCTAGCGATGAATCTCTTGTCCATTTATCTGATATCCCGGAGTTGAACGTTGAGAGTGTTTACCCATACTTAGCCCCTTTCGTTCCATTCTTTACTGCCAAAATCGCCAGCAAGAATGGGAATTACAATAGGCAGGACTTCCAGGCTGAACTCATGGGTATGGTATTAGAAACTTACTGCGGATGGCTTGAGTGTCTCCGTGTCACTGTCCCAGGCGCAGAAGAGCGCGAAATTTCCCCTGATCCGCGTGACTGCCGCCATCTTGGATACTGGAAGAAGGAACTCGGGCATGAAGAATGCGAGGTATGTAATATTTGGAGGCCAATATATATGCTCGTGTGTCCGGATTGTGGGATCAAGAAGTGCGTGAGATGCAAATTCGAGAAGGCAAGTGATCTGAATGGTATACCAGATCATTAGATCATGGGCTGTTTTTGTTTCACCTTCACTGATTGTCATTATGTTGGAGTATATCCATCCCGCCTTGCTTTATGATGGACTAAGTCCCTGTTTGCAGCTTGTGCATCCTTGGCCGGGAAATTTGAGATTGAGCATTTGAGCTAAGAGAAACAGTGGAACTTGAATAACGCGGAATATTCACTTATTATCTGGGTATAACTATGAAATATTTAATAATTACTCTTTGATACTTTGTTCTTTCCATTTCAGTAGGCTATTCCACATGTTTTGCTCTTCGCATGACTGGCCTACATATCTAGATCCTGATCTAACACAAACAATTCAGCCCCAACCCAAGCACGAGCCTTACAATACTTTGCCTCTACATCCAGGAGGAAAGTAGGCAATAGTAGTTTGCGACATGCGGACTCTCGAGCGCGGGCTGTTTGACGCCCGAAACAAATATATATGCGCAATGGTTTCAACGGCGTCGGTGTGAGTTGACCAACGGATAAAACTGTTTATCCAGTCGAAAGATTGACTGGCAGTGTTAAGTTTGATAGGTCAGAAACCAAAAGTTTGTTCGAGGCGAGCATAATTCGACTTTTGCTCCGGAATTTCACCAAGGGTCACGACCTTTTCAGGTACACATAGGGTTTATCTGTCGAACCGGTAAATAACTAGTTCACGGTTCCCGTTCTCGCCAAGCAGGTACCGTTCGGTTCCACAAATTCTCCCCTTGCCTGTGAGCTCGAAAATATCGGCGTTCTTCAAAGTGATAGCAGATGATGGGGTTTTGATGCTCAAGGAAGCTTTCAAGTCAAATGGCCACGTTTCCTGGGATAAATGAAGGCAGAAGCCAACTTGGGCTTCCTTGTCCACGGACTCCGAGATTACGGTATACCATGGCTCATTACACACCGCGAGACTAAGTGGATTTGCTTGTAAACTGTTATTTCCCCGGTAAGGAGGTAGTATGAGATCGAGATTTTGTCTCCAGCAGGGGCCGTGGCCAGTGATTGGGATGCTTGTCACCCGAACTTGTGATGTCCATTCGGCAGGCCCAACAAATCGATCGACGGGGCCCGTGCATAGATTTTCGAATATCTCTATTGCTTGGTTGTCCTCGGTGATGTTTAGCCATTGTATACCTGGAAGACCTCGTTGTCTGACAGAGTAAAATCCTAGCGCTTGGAAGCCGAATCTTGAGATAATGTGCGGGCCCATATCCTCTGCTTCTCCCCACAGGCGCCCTGTTGGGTCCAAAGAAGGTCTGTACGTGGACGGTTTAGAGATATCCCATATGCATAAAGATTCTATAGGGGCATCCTCATCTGCAGTGTATAGGCTGCGATTAGGTTGCCAGAAATATATGGCATAATGGGTTTGACTATGAGTGGAGTAAAAGCGGTCCCTTTCGCTGAGAGGATGGCCAAGAAACATGATCTTCCACTCATTGCGAAAGGTTATGCTCCAGCCGTTGGATGTCTTGGTCACATCGAATGAAGAAGCAAAGTGACGGTGAACACCGTCGCTGTCATTCAGCCAATGGAAGGCTTTCGGCTCAGCCCATTCGACGATGAGGACTCGTCGCTGGAGCCTAGTTCTCCGGATTACCTTGCCTGTAATGATGAATGGCACCATAAACTTCCTGTCACTGTCAAGGTCCATGAGAACTAAACATGTATGGTCTGCACTGGGATATACCAACAACCCGTCATCAAACGACCAGAAGGACTCTGAAAAGGGAAGATCCACCCGCTGCATAAAATGGCTGGCGTGAATATCCCATGGCTGCACCTGGAACCATTCTCTTTCGCCAGAAACACCGAACTCTTCACATAATCTGTGCCTTTGGATTGATTTGGGCTTTCCGCGGCCGAGGTGTTCATACCTCGACGCAATTCGGTCGAATAATGCGCGCCAGTAGCTGCTATCATTTGTTTCCGCTAATAGATTATAGTCATGGCTAGCGTAAAGCTCTCTGACCTCGGCAGCTAGTGGGAAAAGCTTTTTTAATAGTGGTATCAGATTGGCGGGGTCTCCAAAAGCTTCATTCCACAACCGAGAGACGCGCCGACAGCGAACTATATCACTCCCTCCGAGAGAGTCTAAGACCATCCAGAAGAGTTCGCGTGGCAATAAGGGCAGATCCAAGGACTGTGAATCCCGGGGCTGTGGCATGTTGGAACTTCCTGCCATGGCGGGTGCAGGGATGGTGCAACTCGTGGATTACCTCATAGCAAGACCATTGGAAATTCAGGCCTCACAATCATCCAAAGCTATGAACCCGAAAGACAAGCGTCAAAAGGTGATTTATAGGTCTGCCCACCATGTTGTGAAGTTGACGGTGATCGACTGCGGGGGCGGGATTGAGCATCGGGGAGCGCGTCACGCGCCAAGAACTTCAGGACACCTTGCTTTTATCTTCTTCAGTCCTGCCAGCTACAGCTTAAATACAGCTCTTATCTTCGCTGACATGCTTCGTGCATGATCTTAGATCTCTTCAACCAGACCATACAGTTTACCAGAAACTGATTGTGCACTAACTCCATCATGGTGCAGCTAAGCTCTACGCTTTGCGTCGTCGCATCGCTTTTGGCAGCTCTGCCAGCCAATGCAGATGGACTTTATACTAAGAAATCTCCGGTTTTGCAGCTCAATCAGAAAAGTTACAAACAACTGATTGCTAACTCGAACTACTCCTCTGTATGGGCTACCCCTTCAGACCCCTGATTCCCCAAAGAATAGAGCTAACCTTTATACCAGATAATAGAGTAAGCTCCCAAGTCCCACGCGCGGTTTTACAAGCGGTTCCTAAACAATCTAAAATTTTGCAGGTTCTACGCCCCATGGTGCGGTCACTGCCAGAACTTGAAGCCTGCCTACGAGAAAGCGGCGAAGAACTTGGACGGACTGGCTAAGGTTGCGGCCGTTAACTGCGACGAAGATGAGAACAAACCTTTTTGTGGACAGATGGGTATACAGGGTTTCCCAACATTGAAGATTGTGACGCCTTCCAAGAAACCCGGCAAGCCAAGTGTGGAGGACTACCAGGGCCCTAGGACCGCCAAAGGAATTGCCGACGCGGTAGTAGAGAAAATCCCGAACCATGTGAAGAGACTCACGGATAAGAACCTTGATGAGTGGCTCTCCGAGGACGAAGCGTCGCCGAAGGCTCTTCTCTTCACTGAAAAGGGCACAACGAGCGCTTTGATCCGCGCCCTCGCGATCGACTTTTTGGGTAGCGTTAAAGTGGCCCAGATCCGTAGCAAGGAATCGGCTGCGGTTGAGAAGTTTGGTGTCACCGAGTTCCCAAGCTTGGTTTTACTTCCGGGTGATGGGAAAGAGCACACAGTCTACGATGGTGAACTCAAGAAGGGCCCGATGGTCGAGTTCCTTAGCCAAGCAGCGTCTCCCAATCCTGATCCTGCACCCGTTTCCGAAAAGGCGAAGGGCAAGTCATCCAAGTCCGGCGAGTCCTCCGAGGCTGAAGAATCCGCTGCTGAGTCCAAGCCCTCGGCCTCAGCTCAGGCACCCCCTCAAGCACCCGCTATCCATGCCTTTGAAACTCCTGAGGCTCTGGAAACCGCCTGCCTCGCACCCAAGTCTGGCACTTGCGTTCTTGTACTGGTTCCAGAGTCTGCTGAATCAGAGGCAGAGTCCGCTGGTCCTGCCAAGGAAGTACTTGAGACTCTCGCACAGGTTGCGTATAAGCGCACTGTCCCCACGTATAACGTCCCTGCGTCAAACGCCGCGGCGAACATCCTCAAAACTAGCCTTGGCCTATCTGAGGATGCGCAGTCAATCGAGATCATTGCGGTAAACGCACGAAGGGGTTGGTGGAGACATTATGATCCTTCGGAGAGTGCAGACTATGGCCTACACAGAGTAGAAGCATGGGTTGATGCTATTCGTATGGGTGAAGGGTCTAAGAACAAGCTCCCGGAGGGTATTGTTGTTACCAAAGACCAGTCAGAGAAGAAGGCTGACCATGATGAACTGTAAACGCGGCAAGGAGTTATTGTGAGGATTCACTCGAGAGAAGAAAACCATAATTGTATTAGTTAGCTGGAATTGAAGTCTCTTTCCAAATTAAAGATGTTGCACATGTAGCTTCTATTCGAACTTTTGGATATACCCGGGCAATTAACCTATATACAAAAACAATGCCAGTGCAGAAGAAAACACCATGGTCTCATGCATTAGAAAAGGTGATGCACAGCTCAAGTTAACTAAGACCTCTTCTTCTTCTTTCCTTCGGTCCCCTTCTGGATGATCTTCTGTCGCTTGGACTCAACTTCCTGGTCGTAGAGCTCGCGCGCCGTTTCGCCCTGCTTGCGTTTGCTCTGCTTCGAGGACTTTACACTGACGGTTGCGGCGCCGCCAGCACGGATCTGCTTCTCTGCTTCTTCCCAACCGGATTCTCCATTATTTATCTCGTATCTGGAGGCTATAAATCAGTTATTGTTCGCTCATCGGAGGGTTTATATTTCACGGAGGAGAGGGGGATTGCATTTCGTGTTTATAGAGTAAAGTAGGGTGTGGACTCACTTGTCGAGAGGTAGGGCGTCAATCAGTGCGCGTTGTTTCTCGCGCATCTCGGCATTGATCTCTTCACCTCCTTCACGGAGCTCATCTTCGAGTTTTGTCTCGAGGGGCTTGAAGCGCTCATCAACGACTTCGTCATGTGCATCGGGGCCGGCCTCAGTGGTGGGTACTTTGTCCACGGGAAGGGTATCTGCGACAGCATTCTCCTGGAGCGAGCGAAAGTGAGTGGACATCTTGCGCACAATCTTGAGGAACATGGCGAGAAGTTGAGAGGATGCAAGATTTAATTCCTTTTCCAACTCGTCCACGGATTTGCGCTGCAGACCGATGGCGAGGAGGATTGACTGTTGAATGCCGGAGAGGCTGACGTTACCGCTTAGACGGCCGGAGAAGTACCAGGTTGCAATGGTGGGGATCAAGTCTAGGATAACATGGTAGTCAAGGAGGTTGTTCGCGTAGCTGTCTAGTCGCTTAAGGTCGAAGGGAGAGAAGGCGGCGTCGAGGTCGGATTTCTTGAGAGGTGGTGGAACTAGGGATGGATCGAGTTTGGCGCCTGCGGTCGCGGACTCACCGATGCTAAGTGAGAGGACAGACGCGAAAGTTCGGAATTGGTATGAGAGGAGAGAGACAAAGCGTCGGTGGAAGTCTCGGGCGAAGGCACCCAACCAGCTGGCGTCATTGGAGCCGGTACTTAGGGTTCGGAGCATCACGCATGAGTGTTCACCAGTGAGGTCATTTGCGGTTTGGCGAAGGTATACAGGTGCGAACGAAGATCGCTTCCAAAACTTGTGAAGAGACGGCGTCAGGCCATAGCTGACACCAAGGTAGTCCAAATCATCAGGCCGACGTTCCGACAGCTTGCCAAAAAGCGGTGGCATGGAACGAATGTCGCGAACTTGAATATTGTCGTCAAGGAGGTTGGAGTTGGTGAGCTCTTCATCAGTAACCCTGACCATCTCCTCCTGCGACTCCGCTAGGCTCTCCGACAAGTCGGTGAATTTACCCTCAAAGAAGTCCACCAGCAGTTCCAGAGCACGAGATCCATAACCCATGCTCAGATACTCGGGATTCGTGGCAATGCGGACAACTCTAGCACCGGAAAGACCAGCAAAGTCTTCATCCTGGAATTGTTGGCTGACGAGCCAGGGAATCAAATCTCCGCCAGCGCGTTGTCCACGGCTCAAGCTGTTGAGAACACTCTGTCGGCTGATTCGGCCTTCCAGGGCAACCTGAATGACACATAAGGGCTCAGGCAGTTTAGCCGCGTCCTCATCAATCGGCGGTACAAGAACAAACAACTGGTGCGCGGGTGCATCGCTCATCAATTGCAAATCGTTGGGTGTGTTCTTATAGTGACTGGCAACATAAAGAGCCATCATCTGCTGGAGGAACTTTTCGGAGACAGGATGGAAAGAAAACAAGGTGTCACGGTTAACCTGTAGCAGCTGACACTGCGAGGGATGTGGGCAGCCTTGGGTGTTCATACGAGACTTCGGTAATGTCGCATCAAGGCACAGAACCTTGTTCAACCACTTCTCTACAGAGTCACCTGGTGCATATCTGATCGGCTCGGACAGAGTAATCTCTCGTAGAGACCGCCCACCCAAACCTTTATCAGAGGTCTTCTCGATTTTTCCAGTTGCTCGAGAAGCAACATCGGTATCATCTTGACCCGCGATCTTGACACCACCTCTTGATTGTTCGCGGAGCTGTTGAATAAGTTTCAATGAGAGTGACCTGCCGGTTCCCTCGTATCCGTTTATTGTTGACGCCATGAAAACAAGGTATGGCCCCATCAGTTTTCGGACGAGTGGCAGAGGGATTGCGGCAGCCTCATCAATGACCAAAAGTTCTGCTTGTCCAAGAACGTGGGCATCCTGGGGTTGGATGTATTGAATGGTTTGGCGGTGTTGGCGGTGGATATTTACTCTCACGATAGCCTTGTTAAAATCGGGGTTGGTAGACTGAAGAATGGTGTAATCAGCGTGGTCGGCATATCCGAGGGCGTCAAATCCCTTGAATACAAATTCGAACAGGGTTTTCAAGTTCTCGGGGCTCGGTGAAGTAATGAAAACGTTACTATAGCCGTAAGCGATGGCTGCCGCGATAGCAACACCAAGAGCAGCGGATTTACCACGACCTCTTGCGGCAGTCAGCGTGACGGTGCTTCGAAGCGTCTTTTCGGCAATAGCATCCACAAAAGTGAGGAGTGCTTTCGCTTGGTCAACTGTTCTGGCTAGGTTGACCAAGGATCCAACGGGTTGAGACTCTGCAAGGTCGTCTTTAATCTTTTCCAGTTCTTTCTTCGTTCCTTTGCTGTTATCACCGGCGTCCTCGGGTGGCGGCAGTGGTTTCACGTTCTTTCCGCCGGAGATTGGCAAAACGTTCATCTCGTCATCGATAACCAGGCAGGAATCGCAACTACCAAGAGAAAGGATGAAACGCTCGTTAAAGCGTGCGACCACATCATCGTGCGCCTCGGTCCTATATCTGGAGTGGATGTCCATCGACAATGTATAAAGCTGCTTCAAACTGTTCATGCTCTTGAGGAGCATGATTACCGTACCTCCACCTTCGACAGTCTCGATAGTTCGTGCGAGGAGATTCGGCGTAATGGCTTCAAAGTCCTGGAGGATACACATGCCATAGGTGTTTCCCAAAATCTTCTCCGTTTCTTTGTAGTACACATAGCGGATTTGGTTGAGGGTGACGAACAGTTCGAAAGGATCCTCATCGTTCGCTTCTCGGATTCCCCGCTTCACCTCCCTCTTGATCTTCGCCTCGCGCTTCTTTCGATGACTCGTGAACCCTAGCAGATCCTTCTTGTATGCCCATAGAACGGATTTGTTTTGCTTGATATCAAATTGCGATCTGATATGGTAAAGGTTGACGATAATGTCTTTGGCGCGGTCACCCACAATGACAAAAAAGTTGCGCTTTTTCTCCTGGATACCATTTTGGATGAGCGCCGGAATGCGCGAGTCAATCGCCTTGCGAGGCATTTTCTCACGCAGCGAATGGATCTCTCAAGCTTGAAAGATACTGCGTCGAGGAAGTTTCTGCTCCGGCAGAAGAGAAAAAAGTTGCTGGCGGTGTTGAATTTGCCAGAATTTACCGCCTGGAGGTTGACACCGCCTAGCCATACTCACGTGACATTGGTCTTCAATCACCTGACCTTCTGTTGATCGAGGGACTGGTAACACGGTTCCTTTGTGCGACGGCCAATGGTGGTGAGTTGTCGTCAGTCCAGTCTCTCAATGAACAGGGGCCAGGCCAGTTCCCCGGTTCAGCATCACGGACTGGACAGGTCTCGGTGGTGCCATTGTATCCGCAGCAGTGCCTTGATTGCTTGTGGAACTGCAGAATTCCTCGGCTGTGGCACTCGCCATCAAATAATATTTAATATTAGTTCGTCCAAGGCAGATCCATCATTTTACTTGCTTGCAGCTTCTATTGCGCAATTGCTGGCCCCGTCGTCACATGCAGATGAACAGTTGGAAAGCCACTGGCGTCCAAAAAAGCTGCTTGGGCCGTTATGTTAGTGGCCAACTAGACTGCTAGCGCTCGCTAGCCGGTGATCATCCTGTCAAGCGTTGGCCCAGATCCACGCCCAGATATACTTCCATTTCGTTGACGCAATCCTTCCGACAGAAACTTGGAACCTGTATGTAGAAGAGTAGTAGTGCCCTTTTTTTTGGCCTTGGTTCTGGACACTCACTGTAATCCAACCCATATCCCCCTTGTGGGCTGTACCCACCGGACCTTTTCCAATTCCGGGGATTTTAGCTCCTCCGAAGCTTGCTCCCCTCCGCCAACAACTCTCTCCTCTCACATTCCATACGCCGGCGCGAATGCGGATTTAAGCTGGCAGATAAGTGTCTCAATAATGGAATTTCTCAGTTGAGAGCCCGGAATAGCACCAAAATGATCTGTCTATCCGTTGAAAACGGCCTTCGAGCTTTACTGGGGTCAGTGTTCACAGCGTATCTTTTGTTCGTTCTAAACCACTAGCTCACATCCTACAGGGCTTTCCTATTAAGCTGTACATTCCTTACTACTTCCTATAACACCACATTTGCTTTTGGTAATTGCACTTGTGATGCCTCACCGCGTCTGATGGCCACTTTGCTAACTAGTAGTAGATCACCCCCTCCACACAGCCGCCCTGGTCTGCCTTCTCTCGGGGATCTCTCTTTTGATTCTGAACAGATTCGTCCACCGAATACCGGCCCTATCTCGTCCTGACAAATATTCCACTATTCCACTCACTGAGATTGATGATTCGACAGTTGAAGTACACTCGCCTGTTAGTAACGATGACGATTCTGCGAAGGACAAACGTACGTGGAAGTGGTGGTTAGGGATTGGAGTTATCACAGCAATTGGCTGTGCTCGGCTTTCACTTTATCGCAATATCACCGAGAACATCGAATGCGCGCCTCCTGGATATGCTGTAAGTTCCCCAGCTGGCGGAATAAGATTGTCCTAGAATTTGAAGACACGGGAATTGACTATTCATTCACTCTAGTACTTGATCCCGCTATATATCGCAGTTTACGACTTCTGGCGCAATCAAGGAGCCACTAAAAAGTACACGCGGCCAGACCATTCTCCCAGCACCCTGCTTCGCATGCCGTTCACGATAGCTAGTCGCGTTCGTTTTCTCGTCATACAAAGCCGTCTACGATACGTCATATCTGCTGCCCTTTTAGCAGCGAGCGGCGTCCTAGTTTCATCATTCGATAATGGTCGAGAGTCCACATTTATCTGCCCTATAATTTCGGGAGAACATGCGCGGCAACGGATGCTCAAGATACTCAGCCTCGTCTTTGACACATTGGTTTTGATAGGCGCAGCCGAGCTATCTGGCGAAGGAACTCGTCGAGATGGGAGGAGGAAGCAGACCTTACTAGCCTGGGGGTGTGGTCTTGTCGTGAGTTATACCTAAACCACACACTTAGGAATATGTCTAACGTTGTTTTTGCACAGGGAGTTGCTTTATTTTGGGGGGCTTGGGCCATCCACTCAAGGCGTACTGCCGGACCTGACGGACCTGGCACTCTTGTCACCTCGCTTTACCTCGGAAGTGCATGGAGTCAGGTTGCTTTGATTACATTCATAATAGTGTCTGCATCTCAGCTGGTGGGTTTTCATCTCCGAATACCTTTTCAGTCGGACTGACGCAGGCAGTTCCCGCATTATGGCGCGGTCGGACTTTGCATATTGGCAGGATCTATAGTGAATTACTTTGAACTAATATCGGCAGTATTCAATGGGCAAGAGTCTTTCCCTCCAATACCCGCGTCTCAAGCTCTTTTAGCACTTTCCTTGGTTTGCCTTGGAGGGTTAATATTTTTGCTATCCAGGATAGCATCTGATGACGAACCACTATTTTTACATCGCCTCAACCTAGTTTCACGATTTGTATTCTTTATCATGTTTGGAACAGGGTTATTTTTGATCTCCAAACGATCGAATGTGGTCCACACACATCCGATAGAGTCGCTCATACAGGAAGCCGGAAAGAACCATGACATGTGGCTGAAGACAGCTAAGGGGAGCAGTAATCTGGCAGAAGCTGTTCAGCAATACCGGACAAAATATAATCAGTACCCACCGCCGTGAGTTCCCTCTCTACTTAGTATGGCGGGATCGAAGTCTAACGGTTTGATAGGGGCTTTGATAAGTGGTACGACTATGCCGTAAGCAGATCTTCGGTAACGATTGACGAATTTGATGATATATATACGAACCTTCTGCCTTTTCGGGCCTTAGAACCCGAAGAGATTCGAACTATGACTCAAAGGCTAGCGACAAATCCGTTTAACGGAATCGGTGCTTTGAGTATTCGCAATGGCACCGTCAGGCTGCAAGAGGGAATTCGGCCAACACATGCCTGGATGGTTCAAAGCGCGGGCAAAATGATTGAAAAGTTTTCCAAGTACCTCCCCGACATGGATTTGGCTTTCAACCTGGACGATGAGCCCCGTGTTATAGCACCTTGGGAAAAAGTAGAGGAGCTCCGGAGACGGGCAAGAATGCAGAAGCAGCCTCCCGAAGATAAGATTTCGGGCAAGTGGTCAGTGGAACGCAATGCAACTTGGGACCCCATGGAGCCGGCCGACCAAACCCCAGAGGCTATGTTTATCGAGCGTTCGCTCCAGAGAGCATTTGATCCTTATATCGCACCTTCTTGCCCGCCGGGGTCGATGGCGCGGTCCCGGCGAGTTTGGGACAAACGACATTTATGCATGGAATGCATTCGCCCACATTCAAAGGGTCAATTTCCAACAGGCTGGGGTATTGCATCCGATATCTGTCACCAGCCTGATCTCGCTACGCTGCATGGTCTTTTCATTTCTCCCGCCTCGTTCAAAATCACGCAGGAACTGGTGCCCGTTTTCAGTCAGAGTTCCACATCGGGTTTCAACGATATCATATTTCCAAGCCCTTGGAACTACGTTGATAAGATAACTTACACGCCTTCGGATGAGCATCCTGATCATAAATATACCGATAAAGAGAACATTCTATTTTGGATCGGAGGCACATCAGAAGGCGTAAGCCACGAGGGGGGGTGGAAAGGAATGCCACGACAGCGCCTCGCGCACGTAGTCAATAATAACACATATAACCACGTCTCAGTTCTTCTTCCTGCAGATGAACCAAACAAATACGCCTACCAGGTCTTTGACGGCCGTGCGCCTACACAGGAACTCGGTTTGAACACGTCCGTCAGCATCACCGACCCGATAGTGCGCTGCCGGGATAATGACTGCGCCGACCAAACGGACGAACTACACACAAGCGGCCGGGTCGACTTCCAAGATCATTGGCAATATCGCTACCTTTTCGACTCTGACGGCGCCGGCTTCAGTGGCCGCTTCCTTCCTTTCTTGCAGAGCCATAGCCTGCCCTTCAAAACGGGCTTATTCAGACAATGGTTCGATTCCCGCATCACGCCGTGGCTACACTACGTCCCGATCGATATCCGCCTACACGGATTATGGAGCACAATGGCCTACTTCGCTGGTGTGGATGCCACCGCTAACGGGAAGAAGATTGAGATGAAACGCCATGATACCCAGGGAGTATTGATTGCCGAGGAAGGCCGTAAATGGGCTGAAAAGGCCCTGCGAAAGGAAGACATGGAGATATATTTCTTCCGGCTCCTTCTAGAATGGGGGAGACTGACTGATGATCGGCGAGATTTGCTGGGATTCAAGCTCCCCTCTTGATCGTTCTTTTAAAAGTTATAATGAATCAGGCCCCTTGCCGCCCATGTATGATTGATTCATACTTTCTCTTCTTTCGTGAGAATTTACCCCTTCTCTTTGGCGTACAGTCTTACTATACTATTTAATCTCAAAACATTAATGACTGGATATATCCGATTTATCTTAAGTACTTTTCAGATTCGAAGATGTGGTCTTGTTTCCGTGAGTCGTGGCAAACTAAGGGGCGGTTTTACGGCGCATATAGAGAAGACCCCAAAATTCCTGTACTGTTTATCAGCTTAGATTAACGATAACAAACGTATGTAGACCGCTCTCGATAACCAACAAGGAGAAAATCCAAGACGACCTTTCGAAGTTCCGCCGCCTTGGACAAGAGCTTTGGTTGTGCTGGAGTGGGTAGCTTCAAATACTCCAATTTGGTCCGGAGCTTATGAAGTTAGGGCTTCCTCAATGTGTCCCCGGGAATACAGAACTGAATAGTTCTTACAGGTAGACAGGCTACAGAAATAGTATAAAAGATAACGTATGTAAACGAAACAAGGTATCGTATTCAAGCACGCTGTGGTAAGACCCACAACAACCAGGCTCTTGTACTCTGTCCTTCAATGTTTTCCCAACAGCATCCAATCTATCCTCAACTGGGGTGAACTGGCGATATTTGTCCGAAGAACTCAATTGTGTGATACCCTGTGCCTTTCATGTACGGTGTATTCATTCTACGAGATGTGTCTGGTATTCGCTACACAACCTAATTCACCGTGGTGAGTGAGGAACCAGAAAATTCACGCAGAAGATGCTACCCATTGGGTCTGGTGTCTGTGCTTTTGGATATGCTCGGACAATGGCTGAGATTGCTGCTGTAGTGAAGGTGGATAGGAATAATCCACTGAGTTTGCTTCTACTTGGCTTCACTTGACAACTATGTTTCTCCATGCAGCTCAACCATGCATTGTTTTGTTAGGAATCATCTAAGGCATAAATACTCTCCTTTGAGACCTCATCTTTTTTTGAAATCCGTACTCTTCTCTCAAATCTTCCAGACTCGCGGAAACCTCCACTGCTTCAGTGAATTCGATTTGAGACACCTCCAAACTTCAACCATGTCCCGCCGCCTCTACACCGTTTTCGTGGCTCAGCTTGCCCTCATGCAGATGGTCATGGCTGTATGTACTTATCCTACTTGTCTATCCAAATATGCATTAACCAAAGCAATGCGTTCCAGGCCCCTACCACCAGCACCGACATTACCTCGCTCAACCCCTATGACCAGGACTCGGACCTCATTCTCGTCCCAAAGCCGGAGGATCAGCACCGCAGTCTGAGTCCCATCTATCATGAGGATTGGAAACATGTCAAAGAGGCCAGAGGCCCCCTTCCCAGCCATCAGGTCAGATGCGGGGCCGACGACCGCAGCCCACAAAGCTCGGATGTCGAGGCAGGAATCCGGGCACTGCACGCCAAAGGAGGCCCAGTCGTGCTCGAGGAGGGAAGGGCGACGTTTGGAGACTGTGACGTGCCGGTAGAGAGTCGTATCCGACGTGCTTCTATCTGGGTCTGCAACCGGGTATGTTGAATCTTATACTATTCTAGTTCTGGCCAACAAATGTATCTAACTAACTTGATTGATGATTACAGACTGGGAGGGATAGCTTGACCCTATCGTCGTGGAGCATGGTTGCCGATGCGGCGCAGTTGATTGTCGATGACTGCAAAAGACAAGGCATCCACGCCCAATCTGAAGGAGAAATCAGTTTTCCGGATGGTTGGACAGTCAGTGTCCGTATGAACCTCTTTCAGTTTCAGTAGACTACGTGCTGTCTAGTCTACCGACTGAGAGTATGATGTCTATTTTTGTTGTTGCTTTCCCTGCTGGAGAGAGTTATCGGATGAGCCAGACTGGAAGCTGGCGAGGGCACTCATCTTCCAGGGGGCAACTGGAGGGTGTGCATGTTTGAAGTCCAAAGGTAGTTGAACAGGTCCTGATATCTGTGTGTTCTTTATTAGATAGAAGTACGTGTATGATGTCGATAACCAAAATCTCCTAAATCAATAGATTTTCTTATCTTCATAGCAAAAGTTTAAATCAGTCCTCATATTTCGAGGCTCTTGACAAGTTTACCAGCCCAACGATTCAATGGCAGCTGTGCCAATGACCTACTTTGTCAACACAGCGAGTATTCAGTACTGCTGACGCCAGCTTGCCCACAGGACAAGAATCCGCCAGACTTCCTACCGTGATGACTTTGATATAACACAGATGGCTTCCTGGGATTTGGGGTTATAGTAGAAGCCAGACGCTATTGGCAGCTCGTAAGGGATGCGGTAAGAACCGGCTTCCCTGAGTTGAAGGGGAGGATTGGTGCGGGAACTCCAGGTGCTGCCGAGACTGATAGAGAGATGACATACGACATGGATGGGAGTCGGGTGACGGACGTATTAGGGATCAACTACACGTCCTTGGAGAAAGTAATGGTGGATACCTTTGCGCAATTCCTAGAAGCTGATAAGCAGGCTGGATAGGCGTAGGGAGCACAGGCAGCGATACAGAAATAACTTTATATCTCGGGTTTCTGGCCCATCAGGTGTTTCTCTGGAGCTAGGCTAGTAGGGTGATCAATTCAGTGACTACCTGATCATTGATGATGATGAAAAGCTCGTGCATCTTGGAGTTGATGAGAGAGCAGGAACCGGAAAAAAAGAACTGGACTGGCATGCAGGTCGCGCGACTTCAAGGCGGCACTGTTCACTTACTAGAACGAGACGGGCCATGTGGTTGGCGTCCGTAGATAGCATGGATACGTTCTTTGGGCACTGTTTAATAGGAGAGATAAGATTTGGGGTTTCCAACTTTTTATTCGAGCACATTGAGTAGGATCATTGAACCCAGTGACTATGGGCATGAACCCGTAACCCCGAGTCAACTAGCTATATACAGCATGAAAGAAGTATATTCAACTTAGAAAGATCAAGATCAAAATAAACCACCCTCAACTTCAAACCAACGGGGTATATATAATTCCTACTCAGTATGCATGCGATCCATACATACCCTGTAGGAAGAAAAATTGAAAATCACAGGATTTGAGGCTTTCAGAGGGTTCCAGCCCGAGCCCTCAATGACTTACGCGGGAACCCGCGAGCCTTGGGGCGCTCAACCTGCTCAATATCGCGCTTCGCCGCAGCTCCATCCTGGTAGACCTTCAGGGAGTTGATATCCCAGTACGCCTCCTCAAACGCGGTTGGGTTATTCGAGACAAAGTCCTCGCAGCTTCCGCCATTGTTAGCAGAGCAAGTACCGGTCCCCCAGACGGCGCCGGCCCAGTCACCGCAGAAGGTAATGTCAAAGATAATCTGCATATCTCCGAAGTGGGACTCGATGTCGCAGCTGCCTGCGAATCTTCCCGAAGGTGTTCCCCAGGAAGACGGGTCTGGGTTTCCAGACCCAATGTCTTCGGGGACGGAAGAGCGAGGGAAGAACCAGACTGAGATTGCGTCTCCGGTCCATTCGGTTGCGTAGACACCGCCGCTGGCTGAGTTGAAGCCTGCCCCGTAGGATTCGGTGCTCTCGGACTGGATGCCGCAGCCGGCGTTGGTATCCTGGCCCTCCGCGTTGACGAAGCAGTTGGAGGTGAGGACGCTTCCTGAGAAGCCAGATTCGTCGATGCTGCAGCCATCACTGGTGTGCAAGGCCATTTGATTATTCGTGGCGTCGTTGACGCCCTCGATGATGTCGACTTCGCCTCCATTGGGCCAGTCGGGGCCAAGGAGCCAGCTAGTGTGACGGTTAATATCTGCAAGGTGTTTTGCGTTGGGGGGCCAAGTGTCTTACAAAGCGGGCCAGGTACCGCAGCCAGTGGGCATGTGGCCGAGATCGAGGATGAAGAGACCATGGTGGTAGGTCTGGGTGCTTGATAGACGCACACTCTGGCGTCCATCGGGGGCGTTATTGGCGGTGTCTACACCCATATGAATCGATGAGCCGGTAGAGATCAACTGTCCGCTCTCCGCAGTGCCTCGATCCACATATTGGACATGACCATTGGTCGGGTCACTCTCGGTAAAGAAATCAAACTTGTCAAAAAACACATCAGGAGTATAGTCGTCCTGGAGTACGTAGGCAGCACTAGCGAGCTCAGCTGCTAGGCCCACCACTGGGAGCAAGGCAGAGGTAATGCGCATTTTGAAGATACAAGGAATGTATAGATAAAGGATTAAGGCAAGCCAGCTGCAGTAAGGTGGGGAAAGGAGTGTGAAGATAGGCAATGTAAGGAGTGGCAGCGCAAGGCTCTTGCTCTTCGTACTGAAGATTGATGAACGGGTGAGGATATGCCATGGCCAACAGAGCGCTTGCAGAGCTTATATACACCAACTTGCAAGCCCCCTGTTGGAGGAAAGCGGCATAGACAAAACTATAGAGGTATCATCAGCCACTATTCAGGCACCGGACCCGGTCCTGGGACTCGACCCCGGGCCAAAGCCTATTCGATGGCATGCCGACTGCATCTGCGGCAGGCATTCCAAAGCCGCAACCGGATTGGACGAGCCCTTGATTGCAAGCATGGGGGTGAAGCGGCCACAAGCCGCGCGCAGTCGGTCTAGGGGTATACGTCCGCGAAGCGGAGCATTATCAGCTCTATGAAGGGCAAATCTGCGCAGAGGGATGTGACAACAAGGGCCTCAGGAACATCGGATTGACCCATGACGGTAAATCACAGCTTCCAATGAGCGGTGTCACCCAAGCCCGGCGGCACGAAGGATCGACTCTAAACTGCCTGAAATCAGCACGGGGAAGCGCACGTTTCAGGCCAGGGCAACCTCACTCACTCAGAAATATCGGTTTAGCGCTTCTCGCCCCTTTGATCCTATCCTTAGCGCCAGTCACAACCCCGTGCCGGGTTACTTTGCCTGAATCGTGAGCATCTTGCAGGGGGATCACGGAGTGGATGGACCGAATCGACTATGTAACCGTGGGGAAATCGGATGATTAGGGCATCTGCAGATCTTCGAGTGTGACTGGGAAAAAAGACACGCTGAGGCCGTGATTGGCGGTCCGGGAGATGAGAGGAGGGCGGGCGGAAGAATGTCGAAGAGTCAAGCTTTCGCGCGATCACCACGGCGGGCGGCCTGGGTGCCTGATACGGCCTGCTGATTGCCTGCGCCATCGTGACTATTCCGCTTCCTCTCCCTGTTCCGGCGCCGGCGTTTCTCCTCGTCGTCGAGTCCTCTCCAGAATTCTTTTTCTCTGTATTTCTAGGGTCTAGACACCTTGGGTTGGGGGCCAAAAGGTTTACGGTTCGGACATGAGACCCTTAATTCTCTGGAGTGACTCTAGAATTCCAGATCATCGATTATCACAGGGGAAATCTTTCGGCAATGCCGGCAGTATGGAGATGGATAACGCCTAAGTGGACTATACTAGCAATAGGGGTGACAGTAGTAATGTAACATAAAAAAGAAATTCAGACCGGCTCAAAGTCAACACGCAAATCGCTTATGCTTGGTCGCTATGTACAGGACAAACAGGACAGACCAACGTCTCCCATTCACCGTGGTGCTGTTTCTGTCGAGCTGGACGTGACTGACCAATGTCCAGCAGACACTGGCGATGGTAAAGGTGTCGGCAGGAGAAGACAACCACCGGTCCCTGGGTCACGCCCGCCCCCTCCTCATGAAGATTCGTTGCAGAACTGCTCGTGGCCTGGTCCATGTGCCCGTCTAGATGGTGCAACGACGGACTGGCGGGGGAGGAGACTACTGCAGCTTTCCCTTTCCCTCGAGCTGACGAAGGGTCGACCCGGCCTTCTAACTGTCGCGCGAGGCGGTGCTGTTTCAAATCGTTTTGACGTGACTCCCACGCATGCCACTGCTGAACACCAACACCGGGCCCCCAGATCCGCTGCCGGCAGATTTCGCACACTTGGCCACGGGGCCGCCATCCCCTTTGGCGTAATTTTGTCACCTCGTCAACATGGACGAACAGATCGCGATCAAGCATTCCGTTCGCCAGGGATAACAGTGATTTCTCATAGGTGTAGGCCGAGAACACGGATGCAAGCACAGCTCGTAGCTCGAGAAGTGACGGAGACCAACGCGCTGCCCTAGTTAGGAAGGCGCGTAGAATACGAAGGAATGCGACATCGTTGCGCTCGCCTGTTGCCGGACCTGGGCCACTAGTTCGAACCGTGCTTGAAAGCAGTATGGTAAAGACCTGCTGCACCAGGGACCGAAACGACGAGACGAGCTGAGCAGCGTTAGCACCCAGGGGGGAGGTCGAAGCTGTGATTGTTGTCTCGTCCCGATTTGCCAGCCCCCCCTGAATCTGCGCAAAGACGCTCCTGGCGATACGAACCACACCTTCGAGCAAGTCGAGCCATAGCTCCTCGTCAAAGGACAGTGGCTGCTGCAAGGCATTTTTGCCCCCACCGTGCCGTTCGATTCTACGCGAATCCTTGGCAGTTTTGCTTTGGCCTTGGCAAAGCCACGTTCCAACCTTCGCGTATTTGTTCAGGGACTCCAAAAGATCTTCAATTGCTTCAGCCGTAGTATCCGAGTCTGGAGCATCCTGCAAACTCTGTAGAATCCCCACCAGCCCCGACTCAAGCGTCTTCAGGTGCGAAATGAGACGGTCCATCGCCCCTCTCACTTGGCCCTGTCGAGCCAGGAGGATCACAGCAGCGTCCACCACTCCGCTTTCCTCCATAGAGGGAAGCAGTTCCTCGATTCTTATGTCTCCCTCCCTAAGGGTGTCCACGAAGTTGGCTACCTGAGTAGGATTATGCCTACAGAGCAATTGTACGTAACGCTCAACCATCCAGTTTTCAACCGGTCGTAACTGGTGGTTTTCCAGCGAACGCAGTGATCGCTGCTCGACAATGACATCCAGATACTGATATTGGCTGTAACTGTCGTTTTGCAGCGCCTTGATAAACGTCACATGGGTCTCTGGCGCGAAATCTCGCATAGTTTGCGCCGCCATGTGAACGTCTATCGCAGCGATATCAAGGGCATTGGCCTCAACTACGTCAATGACAGCCTGTCTTTGCTTCTTGCCCAAATTAGAGCCAGGGCGGAGACAGTCTTGGAGACAGGTAAATATTTTAACCCTTTCGTTCGGATCTTCCAGGTATGCAAGTACGAGCTCGGGAAACTGTTTCTCAGATCGATAAGTGGACTTGAGAATCCTGAAAAACCGTGCATCTCGGAACAGTGGGATCATCTGCTGGACGTCTGGAGGATGGTAAAAAGACAAAAGGTACTCTGCGCTCAATTCGCAGTCTTCCGCCATCTCCTCATTGGGATATTGGCACAGGCGCTCGAGAACTTGATGCAGGGTAGTGCCAGAGAGCAGTATGTATTGCGGGTATTTGGGAAGATTCCGAGCAATGAACATATCCAGGTAGATCGTATCGAAAGTTTCAAAAGCAGTCGCAGTCATGGTTTGAAGAAGAATGCTAATCAAATACTGTCGATTGATAGAAACTCCTTGATGAGGAGCCTCGTCTGGATCCTGCTCATTCAAGAAGCTATCCTCGAATGCTTCATTCAACATACTCATGAAACTAGACGTGTCGAATTTCAATAGTACCTCGAGCGGCGAGAAGGATTCATGCGTTCCAGAGAACATATAGTTGTACAAGGCGTTCTTTGCTCGAGAGGCCTCAACATCGTCCATATCGTTGCCTGTCGGGTATGAACGGGACGTGAGGACGAAAGAGAGGTATGGGAATATTTTCATGGCATTCGTGTAGCGTTTGAGCTCTTCCACCGAATCACCATTGGTCACGGAATGCTGGGAAGGAATGAGACCGATTAACTCCTGCAACGGTCCGACGTAATCCCCTAGGCATCGATTCCAGACGTATATGAATGCATCGTAGAGGTTGTGTTGTTTGCAGAGTGTGGTGACCTGGTCGATATCCATCGTGCTAGTATCAAGCAGACAAATGATCTCTTCCAGTTGGCTGGCTGTATGAGTAACGCCAAAATGATTGATCAGGGCTTTAACAGCAGTTGGGGGTAGAGATAGTACTGTCCCCTCAACAATAAACGGCTCCAGCGCATCAAGGAAAGCTCCCTCGGATTCATTCTCCTCATACCAATTGAAGACTTCATCCCACATAAACTCCTCGTCGGCCATGCAGACACAAGCGGTAATAGATACTTCAGCCAGTTCTTCTAACTGTCGGCGCTCGAGTCGGTCATTCGGTGCCTCCGCGTTGCGCCCAAAGGCATATTTCAATGAAGCAGACATCATTTCAAGGAGTTTTTCCCGCACAATAGGTTGTCTCAAGGAATCTTCATCCGGGAGTCCGACGGTAAGCTTCTCCGAATTTCCGCTATAATAGGCCGTAGCTTGGCGAAGGGCTCCAATAAAATCGCCAGCTTCCATAATCGCAAGCAGCCGGTCCGCCCAGTTTGAGAGGCTGCCAATTAGGAGTTCGTTATAGCCGAGCATAAACAATCGTCCCTTGTAAGAGCGGAAGCTCATATAGAAAGCATCGGCCACAACTCCATGCATCGAGGTATCCTCTTCATCCAACTGCTCAACTAGCGAGTGGAGCTGAGCTGAGAACAGATCAACATGGTAGATATGTCGGTTGAGAAGGTCAACAGCATTGGTCACACGCATTGTATGGTCTTCTACAATGAGTAATTGCTGCGTGATAGTAAGAACTGCCAACACTGAACGACTTAACCATTGAACGGCCACAATAGCCTCATCTGCTCTCCATCTGCATCGCGGTCGGAACTCTAAACTGGGAGGGCGGTCCTTGGATGATTCTTCATCATCCTCCACCTCAAGAACATCCAATACAGTCAGCACGTTTGACCAGCAATAAACGAGCTTCGTCTTGGAGATTTGCGAATCTTTTCCCTTCAGTCTGATGGCTGGAAACCAGGCAAGAGCGCCCGTCATCGCTCCATGAGCGGCAACCTCTTTCGGGCGCGGCGATTTGTGCTGAGTCTGCGCCACTGGCGTTGTAGAAACTATAACCAGGAGATACGGCGTGAGCATAGCAACCAAGCCAAGAGAATCCGTCGGCTGCTCGACATTCCCCAGGGGGAGAGGCGAAAATGCGAGTACAGAACTTGGCTTCCGCGGTTTACTTATCTCTAACGTTGGTTGGGGATAGCGGCCTAGTACCCGTGTTGTTTTCACCGTCCGGCCGACTGCTCCCATACCGCGAGTCGCTAAATGGGAAAAGGCCATTCCTCGCTTGTCAGCTGAAACCAGTGCAGTGCGCCTTGTTCCTAGGAATCCCAGATGTATGACCGGTGATCCAGCAATGTGGCCGTCAGATGCCCGTATCTCAACCTGGTTCACAGGTATTGGCTGGATGTGAAGGAAAGGCCGCGCAGGCCTCGATATCTCCCACGTGAATATATCCCCCGAAACATGGCCTGCGGCGACAGTCGAATGATCCGCAGACAGCGCCAGCGACTGGATCGCACCGCATTCGACAGCTAAACGTAGACGACTATAGTCAGCACAATCC